ATTGATTGATGTAGCACGGATCATTCTTGGTGCCATGTGAATTGTCCCTTTTTTCATTACAACCATATGTTTACATAGTAATCATTACTATGAAAAAAAAGTCTGAAAACTTACTGGTATGGCCCGGTGTTTCTTATCTTGTTTTTTTCATCGATTTCTAAAAGTTCTTGTTCTCTATTGATTATTCTAGCATGCATATTTGAATAATTATCATATAAAAATATTTATCAATATTTAAATATTATTGATCGCTTGTCGCGATCTCCACGCGCTTCCAGTTTTTGAACATTGATCAACGCGCACATGGTGTCAAGATTTACGATCTATCATTAGAAATAACCTTAGCTATGTTCTAATATGCCTAAGAGTTACACTGTTAGTTTGGTGAAGTTGGTCGGATATCCACTAGGCAGATCGTAATCGTAAACGATTGCCAGACCTCTAGCCGAAGGCAAATTTTGCTACGATCAGATAAAGTGGGTTTTGATTGAGTAGGTTTTTGCTAAATTATTTGGAACAACAAAATTCTTACCGTGAAGTCAGTTTCTAAACTTTTAACTTTATTTTTGAGTTTTTTCGACTGTCTTTCATACTTGGGTTTAGTTAGGCATACATTTATAACTAAGACTTATGTACTTTCGTGATGATCATCGCTTCAAATGCAAGCATGTATTTATCCCACGAATGGGGCAGGGTTATTAGTAGGACTAAAGCATAAACAGGTTCGTATTCTAGTGCTATTTCCCACGCTCCGTTCTCTTACAAGCCATATAAAGTTTATAGATGACCCTTTTCACCGTCATCACCTAAAGAAAGCAATATCAATCGATTTTAGACATTTCGATAGATTGTAGCCAGTAATCGATATCGCGATTCTTCATCGATTTTTTCCGCTCTATGTTTTAGGTTTTGATGAAATTTTACTTGATCGTATTGATCTGTATTCATTTCTAGCTACGATTATGTGCTATTGTATCACGTGACGATATTACGAATGGTGGTATCACCGTGCCGGCGACAAACCAAATTCATATTGGTGGAGCCGTTAAATCTCACTCGAAAAACGCTTTCGAAAACGTATTTGGACCAGAAACTGCACAGGTATTGCATTTTTATGTCATATTAAATGTTTTCGTAAGAAATATCCGCATTGTTTTCGTATAGGATCAGATCTGTTCGAATGTACTACCGGAGCTCGTGCAGAGCGTGTTCTCTGGTCAGGACTCCACGTTAATCGCATTAGGAACAAAATCTAGAGGTAAGTAATCGATAAATATGAAATTTTTGTACGATGTTATTTTGATTAAAGTAATTGTCGGACAATGTTACTTCATAGTGTTCTCAGCATTTGGGGTTTGTATCGTAGCGGATGGATTGGGTTACATGCATCAAGTCACTGGACTATTTGTGAAGTCTAGGTTGTTGAATAGAATAAAATGTATACTTAAATGTTCAGGGGTCCACTGTCAGATATCTTTCGGGCTTATTCTTTTTCCCATTCGTTTCGTTGTCTTTTAACCGTTGTCCAATGATGTTGTTAAGGTTGCGTATAGGATTTGTTCTAACTTGAGGATCTTTCGTCTTCTGTTCCTATTAATGTGCTTAATGCTTCTCGAGCATTATTTTTCCTAAAATCGCGGGATAGCTGTGCTAGGGCGCTGCTAGGTTGTCGTCAATGCGGTCGACGGACGTTATCAAGGAGTGGAGTAAAGTTTACCTCTTTGCAACGGGTTTTCTAGGATGGTAGTGATTTCTGCGATTCTAGGCACTAGTATTTCTTCATTGATAAGCCAACAAGAAGTTGGTAGAAAGGTTAATTCGGCTAACGTTTCGGCGCTTTCACCTTCTTCAGCATCGGATTGATACGGGTCGATCGTGCACCGTTGAACTGAAGTCTAAGGACAATTGTTTGTGTGACAACTTTTACACTAGATCTACAACTTCCTTATCATATATCTTGTATTCAACGTGCTTTAAGAAAAAGGTATTATCCATTCGTTTTTCTCTGCAGGAGAAAAAAATAGTATATTGTGATGTTTGTTCTTCTCCATGAGTCCTGTGTCGATTTTTTCTGTTTTTTTTTGTGTCGACAACATAAAGCAAAATTTTTTGCTGATTAAGGGTGTACTGAGGTGCCTGTGTTCTTCAGAAAGACGAGTCTCATGAGAATCGACATTTCAGTAGGCTAGGTACGAATGGAATAATATAATCTGCAATAAAAACTAGAACTTCGCTGATGTTGGTTTCAATGTTTCATGAAACAAACTTCCACGACGTTAGTAAGAGACGTGGCATCATTTTGGCTAACCTTTTGATGTGGTCATTTTCTTTAAATCTGGAGCGGTTATAGTCCAGTTATTTCCTTGCTTTATGGGTCTTTGTAGTAACAGCGCTTTAAAAAAGGGGTATGGAAGCCCAAACAAATAAAAAATGTTAAAGACACTCTACATAATTTCCAGTGCTTGTGTAGCTAGTCTTCAAGTCTGCACATTGGCTTTTATGCATTCAGCTTTCTACTCGATGGTTTCTCTTTTCAAAAGAGTGTTTTTCATGGAAGGAGTTTCATAGACTAACGGTCACATTCCCAGTTTTCAACCACAGTCCACTGGGGTCAATGGTGACCAGCCAGAGAAATCGTCGTTCATCGCATTGCGTAATGGTGTTCGTCTGAAGTGGCTATGATTGGGTTGCATTCGGACGGCCGCGTGAGGCTTTGATATTGAGAGCTCATAGTCGGACGCCAATGAGGCAAAGACTAACATTAGCCTCGGTCATGAGGAATGTTGTTCCGAACATGTGGTCATCCGTTTTATTCATTCATTTTGGATTACACTCTAAGAACCACTTAGTGATAGAAAGTGCGTCAATGTGAATAACAGCGGATATTCGTAATGCTGGAAGTTTGTGAAAAAAAGAAGGCTCCATATGATCTATACAATGGCGGTAAAAGACATTTCAGGATTCACGCTAAGGATTCCAAATAGAGATGAATTGTTTCATAGGGAATGAGTTCACTGAGAAATCATAATTGCGAACTACCACTGAATACTGAATAAAGGAATTATGTCAGTAAATGGTCCCTGTGCCTGTTGTTCACTTGAAGCCCTATGTTTATGTATTTCGTCTGTCTATTTCAAAATATGTCATCAATACCTGTTGCTGTTTTGACGTGTTGGAAACGTTACAGTAAATATATAAACAAATAGAAAAACACTATGAAAAAAGGATAAAGCTCTCGGCGTTGATCAATCCCTGAGGGATCAGCCATGCATTCAACTTCATTGAGCATCGTTGGTAAGTGATTAAATACATATCTGGCCTTCACAACGACTCGCGGTGGCCTACCGATATATTGAGCCAGTGCTGCTATCGTCTTAGACAAGCCTAGTACCAACTTGCCCACCCCAGAGAGATGGAAGACTTGGTGGACCATGGGAGTAGGGATCGACTCCACGTGTGTATTGCAGGGCACCTCCGACCACTGCTCCACACGCGCCCTTAGAAGAACACTATAGTAAATGTAAACTACAATTCTTTATATAAAGTAGATTGGTAGTATTTTCGGTTACCCTTTATTAGTGGCATGCTAAGTGAACGGAGTTTTATAATCGTATTTCCTAAGAATATGCATTTTTTGGCAGTTTCATTACTAATTTTTGCAGCTGATGAAAACTTGTTCCTAGGAATGTGACGTGCAAGCGACTTTATTAAGTAACGTAGCGATGATTGAATGGATATTTGGCGGATACAGTGACCTACATGGATTTGCCGATATATCACTTCACTGTTTTTCATCTTCCTAGACAAATTTGTCACCAGGTTTCCGACCTTGAACGGGTGGAACATTTTGTGAAACCACAGCATGGGATAGAACCAAAAACAAAGTGTGTATTATAGGGCACCGTGTGTCGTATAATTAGTATAGACCGAGTATTATGGGATTGCCATTCAGTAGTATTATAAAGAGCATAACAATAATTTCGACATAGGCCAAGAGTTGTAGGATTACCATTCACTAGTACTGTAAGGAGCGTAACCGCAGTTTCGAATCGTCACATTCTTGAGGCTAAAAGAAGTGGCAGTGTAACATGATCTGTTGATGAGTTCTCATTGTTTGTTTGCGGATTGGAACTTTGTCGTCGGCTGTCGAAGGTCCGGTGAAGAGACAGAAGTCGCGCGTCGCAGGCGGCGATGTAACGCTTTACAGCCACGCACACACAGATCGGATGACATTCAATGAAAAGTGGCTAGTAGAAGGTCATGGTGCGATCAAGGATTACGCAAATCCTGAGTTGCTCCGTCATTATTTTCGTCAATACTGTATGCTTGCAATTATTGCTCAGGAGGACGATTGTTATGGCCATTACGAAAAGACGATTTTGTTGGATGATAGTTATGCTTGCTTCCGTCCATCTATGGATTCCGTAACGTCTTTTCACCTCTCTGATATCTACCTTAGAAATTACTATTAGAGTACTCTTGAAATTTTTTAAAATCTAAACAGCAGCAATCGGTTATCAGTTAAGTGAACAAGACGACGGTCATTATAAGATGGTTTCGCAAAAACGGTGGACCAAAGTTTTACGAGTTTTTTTTATTGTGCCTGAACATGGCGCTCTTTAGGTAAGGAATGTTTGCTGTACGGTACTCCACCATCAGGCGCCGGATTATTTCAATCTGCAATCAAGTCTATATTTAAAATCACTGATGAGTACAGGTAAACTCAACTATGCCAATAATTGGCAGATCCCAAAACGTGTGTATGCTGAATTTTTTACCAAGCCTTCTCATCGTTGTAAAGCTGCACAACTTTAGCTGATAAAATAAACTAGTCATTCCATTATTTTTGTTATAAGTATTTCTTCTCTTACATCATCAGTAAATTTTTACCACGTTATTGAATTCCGGCCACGAACGGACACTTATTTAGGAGCTTTTAACTATTTTTGAATTATGATAATTTTAGAAAGAGTAGACCGGACACACGATATCAAGTTCGCATGTCAGCTTTACAGTATTCGCAACGTGAAAATCAACTAACCGATCTATTGTCGCCATTTAATAGTGGTAAGTTTCCTTTTTTCTTTTTTATTCTTGAGTCATGAAATCGACATTGGGAAAGTTAGTTTTGTATTGCTATATTTTATCTATAACTTTGTAATAATCTAGGTCAAAAGATTCTCGCTAACTTTTGGTGAGTAAACTTATTACAACCACAATGATGCTGAAATACTTGCAAAACTCCGGATCGCAGGTGTCTGCGGTGGGGAACGAACGCGCTATTACCCTTTCCGGGGGCTTACGCGTTCACCACCACACCATGCAGGTCCTCGTTTCGCCTAGCTCTTTTCTGCTGTACTTATTCTTTTATGTTTCAATATTATTTTTGTACAAACTAATTTGTATGTCTATTTTTGGTGCATAGCCATCTTCAGTGTATTTCGAAGTTTTACTAATATCATTTTTCGTAGGATGTGAAAGTAAAAGGAAAACCTTAAAAAATCCGCGCTTATTACACGTCAGATTTTTCCACTATGAAGTTGAAAAAGGACAGAACAAAAGTGGTTGAAAAGGGTAGTGAGGTTCACTTCCCTACCATTAGAGGAGATTAGAAATTTTTACTTTTTCTTCATAGTACATAGATGCTATGGAAAAAGTCTAAGATATGGAATCGTTTTTATCGCATTATATTTGCTACATTTTTGATGCTTATTTTACTCACATTCTTCTGTATAACTACGACAGTACGTTTAGATCCGCGACGAAGGACGGTGAGGGTAGTGGATGATCCGAGAGCCGGTGCTTTTCTAGAAAACGAGTCCGAGATCCGAGTAGATTCACCGGATCTGGCTCTATTTTACCTTAACACTGTAGCTGATCACAGAATTATCGGCAAGTTAACTGGCCACTTTAATGCTTTATGGATGATATATCCAGTTCGACGCTTTTTTTGTTTTAGAAGATGAAGAAACCTATCGAACGAGTCATGTGTTTGTATTTTTGTCAGTCTACGCTTACCGTACTGGTACTAATGAACTGGAAGGTATTTTTTCTTCACTTTCTCTGCATTCTTCAGTGATTGATTTACTACTTCATTGTTAATCAGCTTAGTAAGAGAGCGTTATGTATCTAGAACAAGCAACACGAATTGTCCATACCACCTGTTGTTCAAAGAGTTGATTATTTTACCAAAGCGATTCCAGTGTTTGTTTTACCACTTCGTCTTTGTATTCTACGTTTCCCCACTTTAGGTGGCCGGCGGCGTTTGGCCATAGTCGACTTGGGTTTAGGTGAACGAAATTCGCAACGTGGTGAATTAACAATGCCAGCTATAGGAAGTATTTTACTTGCTTTAGTTCAAGGACAAAAACATCTACCTGCCAGGTGATTTTCCTAAATTTCTTTATTTCTTGCAGTATAATTTAATTTCAGTATTGATTTGTTAGTCTTCTGCACCTTGTAAAACTGTTGGTTACGATGTATAGGGCAATCGACTTAAAGGAATTCCTTCTTACTTCTTTTTTATTTTACTCTTTCGTTATGAACTACTTGTCACATTTGTCTCTGAGGGTTTTACTTTAGAAAAACCTTCCATTGTAGGTATTTCTGTTGCTCAGAACTATTTTTATCCTTCGTTCTATTCCTCTCTGTGCTCTTTCTATTTCCTATTTATTTTCTTCCATCTTCTTACGTAGTCCTCTTCACTTCATTTTATTCAATGAAGAATTTCCTACCTTAACTTTAATTCTGACAATTTCTCCTCTGTTTTATATTGTCTGGAAACTCTCACGCATTTCCTCGCTTCATTCAAATTGGCTAGGAAAATACCGTGCTTTCCTCTGTTCTATTTTTCTATTTTTTTTTACTCTACACTTCTCGTTTCTTTTTTTCGTCACTCTTCTCATCTTTGTTCTCCTTTCTTTTCTAACAAAAGTCCTCTCTGGACTATTTTTACTAATTTTGAAAAAATCTTTGCCTTTGTACGAGTACTTTTACATGTCAGCTTCCGTGAATCCTCGACTTATTCCACGTAATCCTTTATTGCTTTTTTGTTGCCGCCGTCGCTCAGTCATCGCGAAATTCAGCCCATTTAGATGGAAGAACATGAAACACTCCTAATAAGCTTTTACTTCTTAGAACTAAATTAATCGATTTAGAAGTAAAAATAATGTCTAATTTGGGTTTACACCAGGTCGAGTATGATGGTCGAAAATTCTCATTTAACCAATATAGTTAGGGCTAGAGTAGTCAAGAAGCTGAGAACTTCAAATACTTGTAGAAAGGACTTCTTTCTTGTGCTTCAAGAAATGTATGGTTTTTATAGGATAGTATTTCATTTTTATATTTGCATTGAAGATTTCTCAAATACTTGAAAATGATGTTTCCTGCCGTAGCTGAAAACACGAGGGATATGTTAGAGAATCCCATTCTTTGATAAATTCCGTTTGTTCAATTGCTTTTGTGGTCGAAGTACGAGCATCAACAAAAAAAAACGAGTTTTGCTGACTCCAGAAAATTAGGATCTATTCTTCATGAAATAAAGGAACTTATATCAAGAAAATCTTTGCAAAAATCTTGTTTGCGAAAGAAACTTTCAAGGAAGATTGATTTGCAGAAATTTTCGAATTTTACCCCTTTTTATTTCAACTAACTAAGTCCATTTTGAGCTGAGCTATAGAAGTCATCACGAGTATATTAAAATTCTCATGCTTTTTTTTTGGCAATCTTTGGGATAAGAGTACTGAATACTCATGGCTATCTGAGATAAGGAGTGATTTAATTGTAAAACTACTTCTTGAAGCTTTCAGTTACGTAGAGGAAACATTCGTACAAGCCTCGGAGTCCTGAACGTTGTTCTGGTATTGTTTCTGCTGAAAATAATCAGAGTTGTTGTCTGCACTTCTTATTGAATCGGTTTCCTAATGAAATTCTACTCAATCTTTCTTTTCTGTTTAAAATCATTCAATACTTAAATAGCGATTAATGTCCCTGTATAACCAACATGTGTTTAAATTACATGAACTTACACGAGGTTGATAAAGACGTTTATCCGGCCAACGTTTCGACGTCTTTGTCTTCATCAGAGCCGATGATTCGAGTCGATAGTCCACAGTTGTTCGTCTTCTCGATATGGCCACTCTGTCGTTGTACCGACACGGATTTCCTTCATTGGAAAATTATTGTCGCTCCATATTTTAAATATCTCCATTTTCAAAGGAATAGCTCAAAAAATTTCGCTCTGAGTAAAACGAAGAAAAAGCCGTAAAAAGCGTCATATTTCAAACTTGATGACTGTTGGCGGACGATTGGCACCACTAGTGAGTTAGGTAAATCCATGCATCGTCCGAATCATTTCTTTTTTTCAACAAAAATTTGACTGCATATTTTTTGTTAGCTCTCAAATGGGTCCAAAAACGAAATCTGTCTGTTGTTTAGCCTGAAGATAGGATATGTAAATATGTCCTATTTTGAGAAGTTTATACTTCCATCCTTAATACGCTCCTTGTTTTTCTAGAATCAAAAAGTTTCTTAGACGTCAGAAAGAGCGCTAGTATAACTCATTCGCATTTTGCCAGCAGAGTCCCGCGGGACATTGAGGCAGACATTGGTGTCGGACGTGCGAATGAAATACTTTTGAGAAAACACACCCAAGGGATTCGTTCTGTGAAGAAATTCGCTGGCATTTATCGTGTAGGCGACGACGACACAGATGGATTACCTAGGGGCGGCATCCGTTTGTCGTCCTATCTCCAAACAACTGAACAACGAGGGATTCCAACAATGCTGAGCTCACATCATTGAAACGCGATTTACATTTAACTTCTTAATGAGTATTGGTTTTTTAATCGTGCTGGAAAGCTTACAAGGGGTTATTATAGAAAAGTGGTTAACGCTTCGGCGCCTTAGCACTCTTCAGAGCGGCAGCGATTCGAATTGGATACCAGCAACACTTTTTTCATTACGATATATGAGCTTTCGTGTTTGTGAAACAAAACCACTGGAATACTGAGATATGAGCAAAACTAAAGAAAACAATGAAAAAACAAAAAGGAAAGAAAGAAGAGGCAGTAAATGAAAGTTGAAATATTGTGGCTTCATAGCTAGTCGAAGATTGAAAGAACAATAACTGCTGTGAACATCTGACTCCAATCACTGCGGTACTGAAGGACACGATAACACTAAAACATTGGTCCCAATGAAAGGGATTTTTTAAATAAAAGCATTCCGCAATTAAATGGGCTTGCTCTACCTAAAGTGATACAGTGGCATGTCAGGGTGTTGTGCGTGGCTTGGGCATTTTCTGGTCTATGCATAATAAGGAATTTATTCCACCGGTTAGTTTAGTGTTCCTAAATTTACAAAAGGTCCAAGCTATGTTCTCTTTTGAAATTTCTGGCAAACATTTATAGAATTTTCGAACTTATGAACCTTCTATTAACGAAGTAATTTAGACTGGCATAACCAAGTTAAGGTTACTACGATCAAATCATTAGTGGTAAGGTACTCGATCCAAGCTGGTCTAACATCAAATTGTTGTTTTGTGATAACAGAGCTGTGAATTTTATTTTAGAAACTATTGTTTAGAAATTACTTTGTGTTGAAAATCCGTAAAGGCAGAAATTTGAATAAAAGCCACAAGCCACATTTCTGCAAAAATATGGCTTTTTATGTGGATTGAAAGCTTTTGAACATGGCAATTCTCAGCTTTCTTTCATCCTAACCTTTGCGTACAGCATTGAAATTAAGAGGATGATGTTAGATGATCTTAGACTTTACAACGATATCTGAACTGAACTAAACGTTTGGATGGATTTGTTCTTAGTAGCTTTTTTGTATTTCTTGTTTTGACTTCTGCTAGTTACTATGGTATTCTGGCGCATCTTTAAGGAATCAATGTGTCAATGCAACTAATTGGGATATACAAGATGTATAATGGAGTGTTCTTAAGAAATTAAAAAAAACGACACACAAAAATGTAGAGAAAATTCTTTAGCTCGATTTTATATATTTCAGAGAAAACTACCTTTCGCAGTTGCTCAAATGTGCTATGTGCTCATCACGTCTAACCACCTTTATGTGTTCCTTTGCCGAAAAGACTGACGACAACGAGAATGTGGTCCAACTTGCCAGTAAATTAACTCGAGCTAGACGTAACGCTAGGAAGAATAAGGTCGGCTCGTTTAACTTGACGTTTAATTCGACAAGTTGTTCACTGTTATCGATTCATTTATACAAAGGTATGGCATAAAGCACAAATAAATAAAGTGTTTGGAGCTGACCAATCCCTTAGTAGCGCGCCATGCATTTGACTTCGTTAAGTATCATAGCGTTAATCGAATGCATATTTGGCATATGCAACGAATTACTAGCCTATCGATGTGTTAAGTTTGTGCGTTTATCAACTTTTATACTAGTTTCCTGACCCTAGAGTAATGAAGTGCTTGGTTTGGCCGAGACAAGGGCTCGAAACACAGACCCTGTGTGTATGGTGTATTATCACTAACCAATCCGCTGCACGCTTCCCTATCATTATATAGCAAATTGGAATCTGATGTTTTTATATCCATCTAAGGTGGAAATGTTTCTATGGGCAGAAGGGCGCAGACTTCAACTCTAAGAACTGAGGCAGGTTACCTTAAAGACAAGTACTAGTAGTACAAGCACAAAGTTCGCTGCCTGGGTCGTAGTTTAGCCGTATTGACGTTAATAAAACTCTAAATCACTTTCTATCAGTCCAGTTTTGTTGAAAACGGGCTCTTGAGAATACAGGCTAGTTAGGAATTTTAAGCACTATTGGTCCGTGCTTCTTTTCACCCAATTCACCCAAATGTTATTTACATCCTAGAGGAGAGTAATCCTACCTTCCATAACAATTTTTCCAAGACTTCACATGTTTGCTGAATTTTTTATTAGATAGAGGATTTTCATTGTGTTAGGAGTGAAAAATAGACAAGTCTGGTGCGAGTTTCTCTAAAAACATCACACTTTCATGATCGTTTGATATTGATCAAGTGTCCACTTGATTTTATTCCATCTCTCTCTCCATGTCCGAGTTCACTCGTCCGTATTGGAAACGAAACAAATAAAAAATGGGTCTCTGAGAGCAAATACTTCCTTCGTAAGCGGTTGTTTATTGATGCTTCATTAAAGAACTGACCATCTCATTCTATTTGAACATCTTCGACGAAGTGAAGTACATTCAATTGGCTTTGCTTGCATTGCTTCTTTGATTAGCAAATTTTGGCTTGTTGTGGTACTCTGGGGTCTTATTGAATCGGAAAAAGCGAATGTGTGTGTGTGTGTGTGTGTGTGTGTGTGCGTGTGAGTGTGTGTGTGTATGTGTGTGTCTATGTGTGTTTGAATGGAGAAGAATTTGCTTGCCTTGAACGAAGCTGTGTTTGTGTCTTAATTGGAGCGACAACGCGTGAATGTGCTCGGTCGCCAATTGATGAGGGAGAAATGGACGTCTTTTGTGTTCCGGGTATCAAACTCGCCCAAATTGCCGGATACGAATGTGTAGTCGAACGATATACGAAAGTGATTGCTTAGATAAACGAAGCGAAATATCTTCTGCATGGTAATGGACATTATCTAAGAGGAAACTGTTCCTATAGAGTCAACTGGGAAGAAAAATGTCGTAAAGCTACAGAGTACCACATAATGGACGTTGTGGGCTGTTTAATAACCACGGAGCTTCTTCGATGACTAATGTAGTTAAGGAGTAGCCCATTAAGGCCGGTGACAGTACTGCTACACACTGACCAGTTTCAGAAGGAACCTTTACACTATCACGTTAATCGTGCATATAGTTTTTAAAATCGTTCTTTCATTTTTGAATATGTCTCCATCTGAAGTTTAGAGAAAATGTCGGGAGAAAAATTCAATTTTTAAAGTTTCCTAAAGCAAGCGCAGAAGCTACATCAAGGATATATCGGGGGATGCCATCATGTCTTGCTAAAGGAAATCTGGCTTGCTGAATTACTTTCGTGTTAAAAATGATCATCTCAACAAAAAGAGTGAAAAAAGTTTTCCTAGGCTGCTGAAAATCAACATTTTTGTTGGTGAAATATGGAAACTTGATTAAAAAAAATAAAGTTTACAACGAGTTGAGATAGGTTTCTTTAAAGTCGAAATCGTCCACTATTTCTGCATACTATGTATGTAGCTCAATACACATCGTTCGTTATCTGTGAAGGGTATTGTATTGTTCTTTAAATTGTCTGAGATCTCTCTTTACGTATTTATAACAGATGAAAAAGGTTGAAATTTGTTTTCCAACTAAGATTTAGATATGAAGGAGAATATGGAGATGAAAATTTCGTAAAACTTGGGAAATTAAATGAAAAACCAGCTGAAACTGCATTTTTCACCCCTACAAAGAATCGATATGTGCAAGGTTCAAAAAATTTTGGAAAAATCAAAATTCTTTACTTTTTGAACGGTGAGCATATGTTTTCGAGAGTGATTTTGATATGTGGTTATTATGGACATCAAGTACTAATTTATCGCTCAAATTTTAGTATTTTCACTACAGCCATCGCTCTACGATAAGCTAGAAATCGATATAAAGTTGTCGTTTTTTAAAAAGTGGAAGTTGTACCATAACTGAATTATTAGATCAGTTCGATGTGGCGCAGCGGGTGGAGGCGTTACTGCGGCACACACGTGGAATCCGTCCCAACGCCCATGGCCCACCAAACCTTCCATCCCTCCAGGGTGGATAAATTGGTACCAGACTTGTCTGGGAGGATAGCAGCACTGGTTCGATACATCCGTAGGCCACAGTGAGCCATTGTAAAGGCCGGATATGGATTCAATCACCTCTAAGCGATGCTTAATAGAGTTGAAGGCATGGTGTATCGCTAAAGTATTGATCAACGACGAGAGCTTTATCATTTATTTTTTTTATTTACGATGAGGCTGCAACCTTCAAAGGAAATTTTTTTTGAGATTCGATAAACTGGTTTTCTTTTAGCTATCGACGTGTTGTCGAGGAATTTAGTAAGCTTTTCGGTTCTTGGAAGGATCGGCATAAGTTCTAAGTTCACAGAAAAATATGTTATAGTCGGAAGTTAATTCAGTGTGTGATATTTCGCGCCTCATTTTTACAATGGTTGACGTTAATTTGAACTTAAAGTCGTGGTGCGATCAATCACGGTGAAATGGTAATGGTAAATTTTGTAGCAGTGAGTTATGGAATGAACCAGAGGTTAACCGAACCGAGCTGAACGACGATCATGACTACTGTGCCAAGGAAACGACGGTAATGGCAGGTCCGAAATGGTAATTTACCTCAACGATGAGGAGGCATTCGATGAACCGGCTCACAATTAGTCTCGGCATTGCATGAGCACCGAGTAACACGAAAAAGAGTGAGGAACTCACAAAACTGGTCACAAATAGCGCCCAGTTGAAATCATTTTGAGGTATGCATTTTTGAGAAGCTGCTTTAAAAAACATATTTTCACCCGGCAGCTTATCTAAGAGTAAACTAATACCAGGATTTACCACCGTCCTCGTATCAAAATATTCGCATGGTGGCGAATCTCTCTCTGATCAACAAAGGCGGCGACTGCCTTAGGTGGTGACGACCTGGAGAAGGCTTTGAGCAAGCTGGTCTTGGAGCTCCACGTAACCACAATGACTAGGTCAGAAAATTTCCGGAGAATGGAAATTATTCTGGGACCCATACAGACAATGGAGATGGGCTTATCCAATTGTTCAAATATGTGTGTGACTCCAAAAGCACGTTGAAGGAAGTGGAACACCAGTCCACTTCGGTCTAACAGTACAAAAATCCGTCACTTCAATGGATCTGATTTTATATAGAAGCATTGAAAAGGTTTTCACAAAAGCTTTCAAACGATCTGTGACGTGGGTGATGCTTCGATTTCTTTTTTGTTTGCAGTGTCAGCAGCATTGACACCGAAAATAAATGGTTTCAAGTTCTCTCTTCTCTAGAGTTTCAGAGCAATCTGAAAAATTTGATCGATTTTTGCTCTTAAGTGAAGATGGACACGAATGCCAGGGCACAAATGCCATGTAACGAATCGTTCGCGCTTTCCACCTTTTCGGATTCAATTACAGAAGCGACCATGCCAGTGTCAGGATATGGTATCATATCATGTCAACCAAACTTACACAGCAGTATTCTTTTCGTACCCTCTCGGATCTTTCCATTCTTCTCGAATGGCGAAACGCATAGAGTATCTCCTCTCATTTGTTCGTCTCCTACGTCAACCACCCAATGAGCTCCAGTCGATCGAAGATCACAAACGACATCAACCTTCTCGTAAATATCGTTATTCTTACTCTTAGAAATTAGTTACTCTCTCGTCTAGCTGACTGCAGTTTGATCCCGATATAATCACGAGCTTGATGAACCTTTTGGTGAAATAAACGTGAGGCTCTATTTGTTGGAAACGACACCGAACCATGTCCCGTGTGCGTCTGTGTCTTCATAGTCGCATTGCATTATTTTGTTAGAATCAACATACAGAATGGTTTCTCGATACACTTAAGCACATTTATGCACGCATTGATATATATGATTATATGTGCACGGAAGATAGAAGTTAATCTGGGTTATAAAAACGAGAAGTATAGGTATATATATATATAAGGGCAGATAGCACAGTGGTAGTAATGTTCGTCAACACGACCATGGTGCTAGTTCGATTCCGCTCCGAGCCAAACAAGCCTCTCATTTCTCTGAGGTCGGGAAATTAGTATCGGAATTGTCTGGGAAAAAAAGCAATCCAAGTGGGGGGGCTCCAACTCAGAAATCTCAGGGATCCAGGAAGAATTGTTCGACCAGCATTCTACGACATTCAAAATGGAAAAAAATCCTCAAGAAGCAACCGAAGCCACACGTAAAAGATGGAAGATCTTCGTGGACAATGAATGTGAGGAAACGAATCGAATGTGAAAGTTCCACCACCGTCCTGGTATCAAAGTCGCATGGTGGTAAATCTCCCTCTGATCCACAAGGGCTGCGACTGCCTGTCGTGGTGAAGACATGGGACAGACTTTGGCCAGGCTGACCTCAGGACTCCAGGAAACCATAATGGCAGAAAATCTCCGGAAAAAAGAGATTATGCTGCGGCTCGCACAACCAGTGAGGACGGGCCATTCAAGTATCAAGTAAGTAAGTAAGTAACTAAGTACATGAATGTATCGTTTTCTTGTTCACCAATCGCGAGGTTTTTAAACAGCATACATTTACTTCCATAAAAAACACAATACAATACAACGGTAGCTGACGTTTCGGCAGTATCACCTTCTTCAGAGCCGCTTTTTCGTGACTTCCAATAAGAAAGTTTAGAACAGCTGATTATAGTCGTATGTGGTTGACGACTCACGAAAAAGCGGCTCTGAAGAAGGCGATACTGCCGATACGTCAGCTAGCGTTGTATTGTATTGTGTTTTTTATGGAAGTAAATGTATGCTATTTAAAAACTTCGCGATTGCTGAATAAGAAAACGACACATTCATATTCCAATGCCGAGGTTAATAGAAAGTCGATCCTGGGAACTATATATATATATATATATATATATATATATATATATTCATTACCTATGCCATATGCCAAATATGCATTTCACCTAGAATCGCAAAACTGACTCATTAAAATGTTAGTAGAAAAGAGTAGGCTTCGCAGTACTTCATCTTGGAGACGTTTTATCTGCTAAAAACATGTATGGAAAGGTGAGAAATCCACGCTTTCCAAAGGAAGATAGCATTCTAAACATGTATTTTTAAAGTAATTCTCGTCTGAAAATGAAAAATGAATGAACATCAAATTACACTGGTATACTTGCAAAAATCCGTACAGCCGTTGTCTGCGGTGGGGATCGAACACGCTATTACCTTTTCCGGTGGCTAACGCAGGATTACATTGTGATTTATGATAGAGCTTCAGCTTAACTGGGTTCAATGCTGATTTGTGCTCCCCAAATCAATCCCACTGATGGGTGATTGCTGATAGCACCTATAAAACACGGCTGAGAGGAAGGCGAAGCGAAGGACCCTCACGGTGTTATGGTGAACTCGTTGCCCTCCCGAAAGGGTAACTGTGTTCGAGCTCCATCGGAGACACTTGCGGTGCGAACTTTTGCAGATATCTCAGCATCGTTGTGGTTATATTTCACATCATACCCCGCCATGAAAAAAGGATAGGCTGTATATAGAAAGTGATTGCAATGAAAATTCAATTGTGGCTTTCGCTAAGCTTTGTAATGGATAATCAATATGCCAAAATATTGATTTAAGTGAGTACTATTTTTGCGATAAGGCACATATAACATATTAGTGTCATTTCGTATGAAAGATGAAGAGGAACAACTGAACAATCATAATTTTCACCCTCATCACTTTTTATTCGGATATATTTTATTCGGATTTTAGCGCGCGGATAAGGTGATGTTCATATATGGCCCTAGAGAATTTAATAACTAGTTTGTAGGTAAAAGTAATGTGATGAAACGGTGCGTTTTTTTCTGTTTGTTTTTTATTGTTCTGTGTTGTTTGCAAATATTCGTGTAAAACAGGATGAAACTTCAAGGGGCTTCTGAACATTTGCATAAAATTCATTCGTTTCAGATTTTCTCTGACAGCTCCTCATCGCATTCATCCGGTGTACCGCGTAGTGAGATTGAAAGCGGGTCAGAGATGAGCGGTGCCGAGACGGTGATCTTTCTCGGGCCATCACCGTCTCACAGTCTTCACAGGACCAATCCCATCTATCCGTCCAGCAATCTATCAATAAGCTCAAAAGTACGCAACGAATCAATTTTTTCAACTTATAACTCGAAATTACTACGAAAGTGAAGCGCGTGGAATTTCTTATGCATTAGCATCCATCGAGAAGCATCAGGCATGTTGGTTGGCTTCAAAATGTTGTCTGTTCACCGCGTTTTTGGAATTGAAAGGAGATCGATGGATTGACCAATATTTACTCATAGAAGGTTTTTCGTGATTGCTCATACTTTTCCCAAAATATGAAGGTTATCTCTTTATTATTTCCCTATTAGAGAAATATTAGTATGAAGTAGAACTCTATAACGTTAGAGCTTGTGAAACATAGTCTTGAGTTAAACAAAAGACGATGAAAAAGAAAACTGGAGCCTAAAGAATGTGCATTGACTTTCAGCTAAATGTAGTAAACATTCTCCACACCATAAAGTCTTATGTTTTGAATAGAGGCCAACTTGGAGAAATTGCCACAAGCACGTGATTTAACATCTGTTTTTCATAAGAAGGCAGTTTTGAAATGACATCGTATAAGAAAACCTCGAAGGAATCGACACTTGCGGATTTCTTCTGGTTGAACATTTCCTATACGCGATGTTCTTTCACCAACGGCTAAACGAGGAAGGCTTTTAGGAAGCGAACGTCAGCATTTCTTCCTACAACTTCCTACCATCTAATTTATTCGTTAGCCATGCATCGAAGTAAACATAGTTCGATTTTCATCATCGTTTGCGGTGGAAATGATCCACGACATCAGATTTCATTAGGTTCAGTCGATTAAGTTCTCATTCTTATCGCTTGTTTCTCTTTATTCCTCAGTACACATAAAATGGTCTGCTTGCTGAAGATGAATCTATGTTAAATTTGCTCTAGTTTTTGTGAGATACAACCAGTATCAACGAATTTCTGTCATGTGAAGGATTAGAAGCTATTAGTTTGCCCGTAAGGAGAGTAGACGCCTATCTGTGTGGCACTTGGAAGTTAAACGTGGAGCCAATGACTGTATAACTCTCATGGTAGGCTAATTCAGAGAATGGCTTTTGTGCTTTTAACTTACAGTTACTTCTAAATTCCAACGATGTACGCTTTGATGTATACGGACTACTTTTTCCAATTCAATTCTGCTAAATGTCTGCACTCAAATAAACACTAAACGCATTCGACACAGTTCAGCGTTTCCCCTAAAAAAAATTCATATTTGCTCTGTTAGAGTCTAAAAGCTAACAGTTCCTCTTTACTAATAATCTTAAATAAATTAAATGTATTTCTTACTTAAGTCAGAGCTGAGAATGGAAACCGTTACGCTTTTATTTCCAAGCACACTGAAAACTACGGTATTATACAAAATGTGTGTTGATTCTGAGACAAAACGAGCGAATACAAAGACTATTTGTCAGCTCTGACACACGACAGAAATGACTGGAGACTTTTCTTCCTAGCTGAGTTCTTTAACGACTAGTAGGATAATAGATGACGCAGGCAGCTGAGTCTTTCCATAGGTCGTTAATCAAAATGCAAATTTGCTAGGAGTAACCTTGGTCAGAGGAGTTAAATACACTTTGTAAAGCAAACGCGTTCTCTTTCATGCAAAGTGTTGACTTAAAGCTCTTCACTTTCTATGAATATGTGATCATTTCTTCCTTAGTGGTTTGCTAAAATTACTGCAAACCTTCCTTTTTTCGCTTATCACCATCCTTTTGCTGCTATTTCATGTCAGCTCAATTTCTTATTTGATTAATTTCTAGCTAACGCAGACTTCTGGAAGCTCTACGCGTACTTGTACCGGTTCTATACCACCGATGCTCAAGGTGAGAATGGCTTAAAATGATTTAAAACAGCTGGTTTTATTTTGTAGGAGTAACTTCGTAGTTTACTATTACTATCAACCATAATTTTCAATTAACTTTAAAATTTTTGTTAACCTCGTGTTAGCTAATCAATGAAGGAGTACTCTGTTCTAAATTATACGGTATGAATACTGTATTAGGGACACACGCCATTTCTCTCACCGTCTTTACGTCTATATGACGATCTCTGCTCACCACCCGGTACATCCGGCGACGAATCAGCGCTTGGACATGATTTGACTGTATTCGGTGGCCATTGTACTCAAGTAAGCTGGTTTAGATCTTCAAATGATCTTAAACTAATAGCTCTAGGACCGAAATACTGATTTAATGCTGAAAGCGGCTATGATTTTAGCACAATATAAGTGGTAATCAATTCATGTCGCTCTCTAAGTGTTAAGAGAACTAGTGGAACTCTTTGGAGTGAAATAAAACAAAATTGGATACATTATTTGCTTTCAATTAGAAAACTAGCTTTTTTCCCAATATCACTGTGTTTCCACTTAGTATTTTCTCCGTTTATTGTTGTTAAGTTCATTATTTAGAATCGCGAAGATTACGGTGTCACCATTGCAAGTCCGAAGCGTTCAAAAAGGTGACGTTTACCAAACTTATTTTCTCATGTTAAATGGTAAGGGGATAAAAAAAGCTCTCGGCGTTGATTATTCTCTGAGAGATGCGCCATGCATTCGACTTTATCGTTGGGGGTGAATGAATGCATATTTGACCTTTTCAATGACTCGCGGTGGCCTATTGTTGTATCGAGCCAATGCTACTATCCTTCCAGACAACTGTGGTACCAATTTGTCGAACCTGGAGGGTTGGAGGGCTTGGTGAGCCTGGGGCACCGGGATAGATATGGATTTGAATTAATGTATACTATGTATGATCCATTTTCAGTGATTTCTTTTACATCAACAATTTACTACTTCCGTTCTTCTTTTCGTAGTTTCATTCTAAAATGTGATTCTTATGAAATAGAATACCTAAGCATAGTTTCTTACATGTAGTCTTGTGGTATCTAATGTCTTAAAACTGTTGATTAGGCCTGGTGAAATCGAAAAGAGCAAGTAACTCTTGTGCTATGGAAGTTCTGTAAAACATAATATCAAAGAACGAATGTAAGCACATAATACTATTCCACTATTGTTCTGTAGCATTCCATATTACCCTTATAGTAATATAGCTTTGCATTTTTAGATCTACTGTCTCCAGTAGGACTACAAATTATCACGTTGTTTTCTTCTCTTCTCTGGTATTTGTTTTTCAGCCTTTTCTCTCTGTATTGATTAATGGCCTTTTTCTTCATGTTTATGCTGGTCCTATGAAAAGCTGCTTAACGTCGGGGTATAGATGTTGTGATTTGTTAGCTTTATACCCGTTAATACTTTCGAATACATGCAAAGTTCACTGCAAAGCTTGCTCACTGGGTTACCAAATGCTTCGACCGAGTTTTTCTTGTTTCGGTTTACTTAAACAAGGCCAATTTATGTGATCCTATAGTCATTTGTAAAAGTCACCTGTTGATTGGGGTTGGTGAAGTTGGTGAACAGCCGTTGTTCATAAATTCGTCAACATGCTGAAGAACTTGGTGTGTGCATTTCAACGTTACTTGTAAGTTCAATTGTAATACATCCGTTATCGTGATGTTTCTATGTCGTCTGGCTAACTAACGTAAGCCATAAACTTTTGAGTTTCAAAAAGAGTTCCTTTGTGAAACTAGCAGAATTCGGTAAAAACGCAATATCTTTCTTCTCATATTCTGTTCATTTCCCAACTCGGAAGTGCTCATGTTAGTTGGTCGATAGAAAGTGTAAGTTTTGAACAATAAGGAAGTATATTACTAGTGCAAATTTTCAAACGTAGTTAGTTGGTTTTCGACTTTCATTGTTGTTTAGTCGGAACGAAGATGTCGCCCTAATCTATAAAATTATGTATCGTGAGTTCTACCATCAGGTAGACCTAGGGTTATGTCCCATAGTAGCTCTATTAAAGGGAATGATCTTTCCGAAAGTCTGCATGTTTCATTTGCGTGCGACTTAACTCCCTTGTAATAACTTTTCGTCACTTCGTTTTATTCTTAATATTTACCCCTCTTAGAGTATTTTGTTAGCGCTTAAACGATTTTGTTTTGACGAGCTATTAAATCAGGTCCGTCATATCAAGCTGTTTCCAGTCTTGCGAAGAACGAAACATCCCATTGTAGGAAAAACTTATAACCATTTAGAAATGTCTCCAAAGTTACTAAGCTGAAAACACTAGGAAAATGTTGGTCTAAGATAGAAATTAGGACGTCACCCTTATGATGAACACCGGATGGAACTACTAAGAGGAGAGTTGGGAAAAATTACGGCATCGGCCTTAACGGCATTTCTAAAGCTCATCGAATAGTTCTCTTTTCTGCTCCCTTTTGTTGAAAAAACGCATGGACACTGTAGATGACGTCTGTACAATGGACACTAGTTAACTAGTGTGGCTAAGGGAAACAGATAAAGCAAATACAAGGATTAGTTAAAAATATTCAAGATGCGCGACGTAGAAAACGTCTTGTGACCACCTGGGATTTTATGACCGTCAGCTGGTTAGTCTGATGTTGAAACAATCATGAAGAGTATAAATCACTATGAAATCAATGCTTCCTAAAGGAGTGGTGATATTAAAACGAATCAATTAAGAGGAAGAAGTCCTTCAGGATTTTATCAATAAAAGATAAAAATTACCTTTACCATTTCCCGAAATGATATTGTTGAATAAGCAGTTCACCTTCGCAGGGAAAAAATTACCCCAAAAGATTATTCCAACTTGGTTGGGTGTCTTCTCTTCGAGAAAAATTATAAACGACATATTTAGAGTCGAAATATTTACGACACGTTTCCAGGAATCAAACCCCTTTTTATAGTTCGGGATTATACCCACTAGATTTCTTGTTCCCTAGTTTATGTTTCAGGAATTCTCAAACGAAAAAATCCTTTTTTTCATTTTTATTTGATCCGTAGTGATGTCCGTCATCACGAACATAATGCTAGTTCGATTCCGTTCCAGGCCGACCACGCCTCTCATCTCTTTGGGGTCGGGAAATTGGAACCGAACTTGTCTGGGGAAAAAATCACTCTCTGCAATCCACCTGGGAGTGCTTCAACCCAGCTATCTCAGGACTTCAAAGAGAATTCCTCGACCAGCATTCTACAACATTCAAGATGAAATGGAAATCCTCAAGCAGCTACCGAAGCCACACATAAAAGTTGAAAAACCTTCGTGGGCAATGGATGCGAGGAAACGAATCGAATGTGAGAAATGTTGGGATCCGCGTGAAGACGGATCAAGTAAAAATAAAAAAAGATTTTTGATTTTGAGAATTCCTGAAACGTGGACAAGAAAACAAGAAAGCCACTGTTTTGAATCATCCTCCACTCGCACCATCCTAACCTTGGCTGGAAATTGAAAGGGAGTTACTTTCATCTCAGTGTGAGATCCACGATATCTGGACTATCGGTCTATGTTAAAGCCAAAAAACCATTCCAAGCAGCTTATGCAAATCTTTTCTTTTACAACGTTGTTGAGTGGTTAAAATAATAAGAATTCAAAAATTATTCGTGGAAATAAGAAATATGGAACGTTTCATGACGTGTGTGGCGCAGTGGTCGGAGGCTCCCTGTAGCACGTGGAATCGATCCCCGCGCCCATGACCCACCAGGCCTTCCATCACTACGAGCTCGGAAAATTGGTAGCGGACTTGTCTGGCAGGAAGGCCAGGTATACATTCAATCACCTCCATCGATGCTTAATAAAGTCGAATGCATGGCGCATCCCTCAGAGATTGATCAACGCCGAGAACTTTATGCTTCTTATCCTTTCATGACGTTCATAGATTTCAACTGTATGCGGTGGAACGCAGCTGATAACGACTGTTTGTTTGAAGTTTTGTAGTGACATTTTCTAGTAATTAAATGAGTTGAAAGCAAAGGAAAGTGGTGAGCATAGCTAGATTTCCGTTATTATGATTGTAATCTACACTTTCGTTGCTCTTTTCCTACTCAACCTTCTGCCACAGGCTTTAGACATTATAGCACATTTAGACACACAATCATTGATTTGTTGGAAATTTTGTTAAGTTACTTCGATTCTTTAATGTGACTGTCTCTTTTGGGTTGCGCTACCGTAGTCATTCATTCATATATACGCAAATATACTTTCTATAGTTCGAGTTAAAGCTGAAAAAAGCTGTCGGCGCTGATCAATTCCTGAGAGACGCGCCATGCATTCAACTTCATTAAGCATCGTTTGGAGGCGATTGGATGCATATCTGGCTTTTACAATGACTTGCGGTGGCCTTCCAATGTATCGAACCAGTGCTGCTATCCTCCGAGACAAAATATGTCTTGTTCGAGTTACGTCCCTAAAAATGTTCAACATAACGATCTTTCAAGAGCTGCACTGATTTCGTTGCCGTATTAGCAGTAGTGAATAAAAGGCATTGAAATGTCTCATCGATTCATCTGAAAAAGAAAAACTTTCTTCTTCGTATTCTTCCAGATCAACTCTGTTGTTGAGGTTCGTAGAATTTCTGTTACAGTTGTAATCTTGACGATGACAAACGACAAGCGATTATGCAATGGGTGGACACTTGTGAACCGTTACTGTCACCAGATGACGAGCCGTATACGAATGTCGATCGACCTCGTGAAATTCTTTCGTATCCATTGGAGGACATTATTGAACAAGACGAGGAGTCAATGAGGGAATCGATGTTGTATGTGATAGCGATTTAGTCGAATACAATGTTGAGGAAGAGGCTTTTGTTTTTGTATATCTGAAAAAGTCAACAGCCTCGGATATTCCCCTCATTCTCTTCTGTGGGTTTGTAACATTCGTGAAAAGAAGGAATCTCCATGGTTTCGTATTTACTTAATTTCTTTTCCATGTGTCTATGAATTAAGAATGTTCCATAAAATGGATCTGTTTCTTATCTATAGAGTATGTTAGTAACTTGAGCGTTCAATAACCCAGAAGAGAACCTGAGAACCTGTGATTCATATCGATTTTTCGATTCACCCATGGTGTTTCTAGATCGAAAGGCGACACGAACTCACATCCATTAAGCATTCTTAGCAGGGAGGATATCGAAAAGATAACAAGCGTAAAAGGATCACAAGTAAGTGCTTTGAATACATTTTCTTTTATTTAATCTTTATACATGACCCATCTTTCACATCGACTCTGCTGATCTCAGCACTTCTCGCCCTCGATTCGTCATTCATCATCCACAAAGCCTTCCAACTCCTTACGTGTGGCTTCGGCTGCTGCTTGAGGGTTTTGACTTGGATTGTAGACAATGAACGTTTACCATACGATTCCGGCACGGATTTCCTGACTGTGGAGGAATGGGAGATTTAGTGAGCCTAGAGGGGGGTCGAACCGACTCCATGCTCGTGATGATCGTCATCACTGCCACCGTGTGAGCCGCCCCTACCTTTATTTAATTAAGAGGCGAAAACTCTACAAATGACTTTATAGCCCAAATTTTTGCATGTCTTTCATGTAATTTCGCTACTATTGCATTTCTACCTTACTGCGGTTACAGCGTAACGTCGTACTTTCGTATCAAAATTTCTATGAGAATTGAGATTGAATACCCTGATTGAATTCGACAAGTACTCACTAGTACTAATAGTAATAGTAACAATGATAATAAAATGGACTTTCTTATTGACTACTATATCATTCGACTTTAGGATGCCGGTTCTGATGAAGACGCACTCGAACGAGCTATGGCCGCTTCCGTGTCATCCATACGATCACACGATATCCTGGCGAAACTTAACGATGATATCGCAGTGGTGAGTTGGCATTTTCGCTTTTTTCCAAAAAATCTGATAACAGTCCAAGATGGTTAGTGCAGAGTATTTATAGTACTTGCTATCGATTGAGCTCTTAAAATTTTCCACTGGTAATTATTACTGAACTACAATGGGTATGACAAAAAGGATTATGTCACAGACTGGTGGACCATCGTAGGAGGCTCGGGCGGGGGGGGGGGGGGGGGGGGNGTAGGAGGCTCGGGCGGGGGGGGGGGGCTGTTTTACACGACAACAGTATTCTTCTTGAAAACCGACAACTAAATCTCTATGGTTGTTTCAGCTGTCTAATAATACTTATGGTGCTCGTTATCGACTATGCGACACTTTATTATGTGGCGATGTTCGTTCAGGCCGAGTATACATTTTGCGTATGTATAAACAACCATCAAACAAACGGAACATGATCAGCTGAATACACAATTCACGTTAATAAACACCAATAGTATTACCTTACCAACCAGACAACTGTTAGAAGTAGGGAGGCTAGGGATGTGAAAGAGGAGACGGCTTAAGAAGGTGAACATCCGAACCCTTGGGAATTCATCCTGTGAGGCCTCCTAAGTCCGGATCCTTATTGCATCATTCACTTACTCTAATATTTACCTCTTTGTGGTCACCTAAATACTTTAACTGCTCCATTTTGTTAGAAACAGTGAAAAAATCTAGCTACTAGTCAGAAGGCAAAAGCTGATTAAGTTGATTATATAAGTGCTTTAAGTTCTGATCGTCTCCTTCCTTATCAAATCATGCCACTAGGTTGCTGCAAACATAGACACTAGATAGAAGTGAAGTCGTTTAAGGATAGCAGACGAAAAATATAGCGATAAAAATACCGCGAAAAGAACGGTCCACCATAAGAAAAGTCGTTTTTGTTCATTGTTCGAATTTCAAAAACAACGTGGCCCTTTTTTTCCTTTCGACAGTCAATTTAAAATCGTCGACCACTTTTTGTTTGACGAATGGCACAGATGTAGTCGACAGGATGACACAACTGTGAGACATATTTTTTTCAAAACTTCTTCACTCCTCCTCCTCCACCACTTTCCAACCCCGTCTTTACTTATCATTTTAGAAGCGTATTTAGTCTTTGAAATTGAATTGCAATAAAGTAAAAGTAGTTATAACAACAATAGTGTCGAACAGAAGAACAAAACATTTATGAGTAGAAAATAGAAATAAGAGGGGCACAATACCGAGAAGCTCCAATAGCAACTATGAAATAATATGTGACTTCAACAAAACAGCATTCAAAAGTGAAATCAAGCAAAGATTACGAGATATTTGCAAAACTGTGGACGGCAGGTGTCTACGGGGGGAATCGAACACGTTATTACCCTTTCCGGGGGCAAACGCGTTCACCACCACACGATGTGGGTCCTTCGTTCTGTCTTTCTCTCAGCTAGTTTTCTGTCTACCAATGCCATCAGCAATCATCCATCAACGGGATTGATCTGCGGAGCCGAAATCGGCACATATCGTGCCGTGAAAATTGTGATAGGCAATAAATAAAAGGGTTAACAGTAAGGAAAGGCTGTGGTAAGCAAGTAGCAGTAACGAGCTAATAATGTGGTTCCAGTTAGCATTTTCTCTATAATAAGATTGAAGTGACATATTATTTAAAGAGGGTTCTGATTTATATGACTATTGATTGATTATTGTATACGATAATGATAATAATAGCGTGGTAAGACTAGTAGTGACAAAATAAATGGATACTAGTGCTATAAAGTTGTGGTACTAGTTCCAGAAAGATGCTTCGCTCACTGTCACGATTACCTCTACGGCGACACCGAGTGAAATGGGTGTGTACCGTCGAGCGAGTTATTTAGAGAAGTACGCGCTAGATAAAGTTAAGGTAAGAAAAATTGGTCCAGAAACCAACTAATATGATGTGATCGATATGGCTATAAATAATGTTAATCTACTTAGCCGTTATTACTTCTGGTATGTTGCTCACCTCAACGAGTAGTAGCTGTTGTTCATCTCCTTTAGTACAAGACATTCTCACCCTTTTAAAATTTTAACAACAATGTGACTCATATATGGGACACATACGTCTTGGCTGCGTATATTTTGAGATTTGTACGCCATACGATATCGAAGTAGAGGAAAGTAAGAATTGAAAACTATGCACTGTAATCATTGTAAGAAGCAGTATTTATTGGCTCAGTTACACGTTTTCACAGCAGAGTTCTATAAAACAGAGTTTTCCCCCATATTTTTTGGTCAACTTTTTTTTATTTTATATGACCCGTCTTCATGTCTACTGTGCGGATCCCAACACTTCTGACATTGCTTCGGTTGCTGCTTGAGGATTTTCATTTCATCTCGAATGTCGTAGAATGCTGGTTAAGCAATTCTCGCTGGAGTGCTGAGATAGCCGAACTGGAGCGTTTCCAATTGGATTGCAAAGAGTCTTTTTTTTTCCCAGACAAATCCGGTACCAATTTCCCGATGTCGGGGTGATGAGAGACTTGGTTGGACCAGAACGGAATCGAACTAGCGCCATGTTCGTGATGACGGACATCACTACCACTGTCGTATCCGCCCCTTCTAGTTGAAATTAAGGATGTAACCTCAATTTATATAACGGAATAGGTTATTAATACGTCTTCATAAGGTTTGATTCAATTTAAAATGTGCGCCTTGGAGCGCTTTCTAGTAGGTTTTCTTTTCTGAATTCCATTCAATGCAAGCTTTTGGTGGTAATCAAACGACGATTTCTTCATTATAGGAACTCGATGACGAAAAATTGAAAAGGAAACGAAACAAGTTGGTCTTAAACTGCTGTCAAAACTCAATGATGTCGTCAGGTAGTACTGTAGTTGACTGGAATGCCATCGAAACTCGTAGGTGAGTGCTATAACGTGAACATGCAATGAGCTCTCAACTTCTGAGTTTTGAAAGATCTTTAACAATATTCCAGTAGATTTAAAGTGAGTTTAATCCCCTTTTTTGAGTTCTTACCAGCTATTTTGAATATGATCTGTAATAAGAAACCTGATTGAAGCAAGTTCTGCGATGAGCAGAGGTACTTTGACTCATTTTTGTTCTGTTTGTAAGCTTAATATGATAAGTAAAGATCGATCTTACTTGATCTTACTTCTAAATATACCTACATGATCCATTCTAACATGTCGCTAGAGATCCAGCACTTTTTTCTACACCTTTCATTGTCTTGCAACCACATCTATGATTTGTTTAAAAATTTTTATTAGTCAATTCTAATATATTTAAATGACCCAGCTTGTGCCAAAGCTTTGTGATGACTTAAAAACTTTTGAAGACTTGCCGAGAAGGAGAAAGAAGAACTGGAAAGGAGGAAAAACGAATTGCGAAAGCGAAGAGAGGAGTTAAAGATTGAAGCTGATGAGATACGAAAAGAAAAGGAACAGATCGATAAGGTTATTCTGTCTGTCGCCGCCGCTCATAGATTCTATGCAAACTCTACCATGATTTCTAAGTTTTGTCTTTCAAATTCAAGGAATTGAATGGACGCTCACTACCATCTGTTATTGCTAGGCAAATCACTCAACAGCTTCACGGGTTAACAGTGGGTTCGAAGCCGAGGTTGTTAACAAATAGTAGTTTCGTTTTACATTCATGGTATGTTATTTGTAGAATTTTCAAGAAGAGATCTTTAAGAACACATTTCAGTCAGAAAATACGCGCGCCATCGGATTCGCTACCCAGCACTCCAACGATTAATAAGAAATTGATAGCTCCACCTGTAAGGTTAGTAGTGATATAATAAGAGCATATGGCCAGCCTTCTCTCTATTCACTATTTGTTTTCGTGCATGTATCATTCACAAGAAAGAAGTTATTACAACACTCAGGACACCTTCACTGACGAATTGTGCCCTACCGACACTGCCTTCACCGTCTCATCAGGCGAAAAATGGTCAGATGAAAGCTCAGTGGATTGACGGAATGCACGTGAGAAGAAGCAGGTGGTTATTCTATTCATATAAGCTGATTTGAAGCAAAAACAAATTGACCTCCTATTTGATGAGTTTTAACATCCTAATTTCAGCAAATGCCGTTCAGACCGACGGGAGCGGAAGCTTTCCGAAGATGGACGCAGGGAAAAGACGACAATCCCATCACCGTATTCTAAAGTAATTCAGTTACTCATGAAAATAATAAAAGTAAGAGGGTAAAATCCTCGGCACTGATTAATCCCTGAGAGGTACGTCATGTATTCGACTTCATTAAGCATCGTTGGAGGTGATGGAATGTACATCTGGCCTTTATATTGACTCACTGTGGCCTACCGATGTATCAAGCCCCTGCTGCAATTCCCCCAGAAAAGTCTGCTACCAATTTGCCGATCCCGGAGGGGTGGAGGGCTTGGTGGACCTGGGACGCAGGGATCGATCCCATTTGTGTTGCAGGGCGCCTCCGACCACTGCACTACATGCGCAGTGAAGATTAGGCAAATATTTCTAATGCTCAGCATTGACTTACTGTTAAGTAGTCACGAGATTTTGGTTGTAGTAATTCCGAAGACAAATATTTATTATAGACAGAAAAACGACAGCGGAAAAAATAAAGGAAAAAAATCGACTATACAGTTTGGTTATTGAAATGCATATGGTTGACTAGTAATTACGTCGTTTGATTCAATATTAACGACCGAATGTACTGTGATGGAATGATGTTGGAGAGTAATAGAATTTTGCGGACTAATCTGTAATTGGCTATCCTGGAATTAAGCCCGATCCTGGACTAGTACGAACGAAAGCTGGGAATGCACATGTGAGGGGTGAACATTGGAAAGCGTGGGTTTCCCCGTTTTTAGAAGCATCTGTAGTTTTTCCTTTCGTTTACTCGTTTTAACATTTAAAACTTCCGGTCGGGGTATTTCAGCAGCATTACAGCTTTATTCGCTATTATTACTATTATACTATTTTTAGAGCCATCTATACATTTTCATAATACAGAGATTCTGGGTTATAGAACTGTGTATAATAGATAGCGACTAGGATATAGGATAAATGGGACTAAAATACAGGCTGACTGTAATATGTGCCATTAATTATAGAGAAGGATGATGAATCACAGTGAAGAATTTATAAAGGACTATTTTTAATACATTCACAGCCGCATGAGTCACATATGATCCATAAATGGCATAGGGCCATTCATCGTTCAGTGGGAAAGCATATTTTCGGCTTTTATCCTTTAATTAGGAACTTTATCTGAGTCATCGAATGAAAAAGTGGGATTTCTTCCAAAAAGACGTGATCTGTTTTCAAATAAATCATTGCTATCGTTTTTGGCTATGCTGTTTGCCTTAGAAAATACGAGGTACTTTTTGGTGAATTTAAAACTTCAGTTATGAGTGAGTCTGAAAAGAAAACTATATTCAAGGAAGAGTAATATTTGCAAACAGTGAGAAACGAGTATACGGGAGAGTATCACGGGATAAAATCAAACCGTCGTCGTTGATTCATTGATTGATTTTAGGTAACAGATCCACGACTTGTCGATGGACCGCCGAGCAGCGGTCGTGGCTCAGACGATGCGGCATCGCAGTGTCGTGAGAAGAAGCGCCAAAGCTACTCGGCATCATCTGGGTACGAATCCGCGGCTGGGGACTATCATGCAGCATACCGTAAGTAACAGTGCACGCCACCCGTTTGATGTTCTAAGCCCCAACTGCTGTTTTTGAACTTCGAAGATTTTAAAGTGCACTACTCATAGTTGTGTGGGTGAAGCCTAATTTTACTCCAATGTATTACTAGGAAACAGTCAGCTGGGAAAATATGCTATGACAATGTTATGCAGAAATGCATGCATTTCCTACATAGAGAATTCGGGTATTCGGTTGTTTCTCTGGCTAGTAAGACCTCTGCTCAAGGTAAAAAGTTAAATTAAGTCAGAAAGTGGCTATCTTTACAGCGGAAGTAGTAGAGCACGGTTAAAATTATCAGGAGTAGTTTATTCTTCTCCATTTCTAAGGTCTCACTTTTCTAGATCTACGCAAAGACTCGCGTTTCGACCAAAGAAAGGTGGTAGATAAGGTGGGACCACTTCTATTAATGAATGCTAGTAGTGGAAAATGTTTAATAGTTTCAGCGTCTTGGGCTTGGCCGTGAGGCAGACGGTTTGCGTGAACAACAGAGACGGCTGAGGAAAGAACTTCAAGATGCAAAAGCGCTTATAGGACAGATTGACGATGCTAGGTACCACTTCTTCTTTTCGTTAATAGTAAGCTTGACATCTGTGTTACAAACATAATTTAGAGCAATTTGTCATGACACTAAGACGATCGGTATCAGTCAAGCGACATTGGTAGATACGCTTAGGCAGGTAAGATCGCTTAGCCTTTGTATGTCGCACTTTGAAAACCGAACTGGTTCAAAAGCTCAGCATTTGGTCTCGTTTATGTTAAGAATTGCAAATTCAGCTCATATATTTAACTCGTGCTTTCTATGTTCAGAAAATGTGAGCTGGTTTAAGAAAAAACTACGGTGGGGTGATATAAGCTTGTGGTGGTTGGTGAGCCGTGATGACAGTTGTTCATATCATAGTTGATTAGTCGTCGATAGAATGATAAATGCTTACTTTCAGGAGAATCGAATTCTTGAGAAACGACTAACCGCGTGCCGAAATCATACGATGTTTGTGACAACATTCCTGTGATAATCGTAAACCCGTTGTTATGATTTATATAAGTATAGACATGAATATATCTGTGTCGTTGAACTGCACTAATCCTAGCGCAACCGAAGAATGAGCGGAAATGTATCTATCAGTAGTTGAATTACAAGTTGCGGTGGAGTGTGGGAGTCAGTTAAGAAACTCTGATTGAAGTGTGGAAATTATAATCTTTGTGAATCCGAAAATTTTCTTTGTTACTTTTTATTGAATAGAATAAGTTGCTGTAGACATTCTATTTTCTCTAGGGGTATTTTTCACAAATCAATCGAATATATAAAAGCAACTGGATCGTTCTATTAAAAAAGCTAATATTTTTCAAGCATAGGGGTTCGGAATAATTCGAGGACATTTGTAGGAATATCAAAATTATCTATATACTAAATTCGTCAACTTCTCCCAATGGTTTACCGTCTCATCGTGGTTGGAAGGTGTTCCTGGGTGTCAGCGGGGGGATTCATCACCCCAGCAAGGTCTCGTAAGCCTAAAAGGAGTCCGCAGTTTCCATCAGGAAGCCCAGGTAAGAGTAAACCAATACGAGGATCCACCACCGTCTTGGTATCAAACTAATCGCATGGTGGCAAATCTCCCTTTGATCCACAAGGGCCTCGACTGCCTGTGGTGGTGCTGACTTGGGGTAGATACTGGCCAGGCTAACCTTGGGACTCCAGGGAAACACAATCGGTAAACCAGAAAAACTCCGAGAAAATGGAAATTATGCGGAGCCCGCACAACCAGTGAAGATGGGCCATCCAAGTAACCAAGTAAGGAAGTCGTTAATTATGAAGCAACTAGAGAATGCACAAGTAAATTCTGCATTCTTCCCTGTTGCTCTTCAGAAGTGTTCAGTGAATTTAGCTCTTTCGACTGACAAGGGAAGCATTACATTTTTGCTACGAACGCCTCGATTTTGCCATTCTAGACGAGATGATAACCGTGAATTTTTGGGATTTGCCATGGCATAGATTTGCTCTTCACTCGGCTTCCTACAAATGTCGAGCTTATTCTAAACCTCGGTAAATCCTGGTCAGACAAGTCTCAGATGTATACAGTTTTCTCCGCTACTCGTAAAATTACCACTATAAGATTTGATTAATTTTCAAGAAAAAAAAATCCGACTAACAGGTGTTCAACGAACAGTGGAAAGCAGTCATTCTAAAAAGAAAGGGTCCATAGGAACTTCAACTCGTAAAAACTAATTGAAGACTGCCACGACCGACTTTCTATTAACCTCGGCATTGATCAAGTGATTTTCTTCGTATTTTTGTTGAGCAAACGCGAGGTGTTACTATTCTTTGTTCACGATTAAGCTGACGTTTCGGCGAATTTCGCCTTCTTCAGAGCCTGGAAAGGTCAAGTTGATAGCAATCCACTCGGCCAGACGCCTCCATAACCAAACAAAGAAACTCCAAACCAAGATTTCAACCAGTTAACACAGCTTTGCACACTCACCGCTTTCTATGAGGTCTCCACTAAGTATGTCACGTAGAGACCAACCGCACAGAAATCACGTGTAAGCATAATGTGCTCCTCACATCAGAAAAGCAGTTTTATATACTGCCCTATATCACGCGTGATAATGAGGCATTCTAATGCATTAATTGAAGACTGGTGAAACGGTTCGCTAAACTCGAATGGTACGAAGGCGCACATTCAAATGGAAAATCATTGTTCCCAAGATCGACTTTCTCTTAACCTCGGCATTGGAATATGAATGTGTCGTTTTCTTGTTCAGCAATCGCGAGGTTTTTAAACAGCATACATTTACTTCCATAAAAAACACAATGCATTGGAATATGAATGTGTCGTTTTCTTGTTCAGCAATCGCGAGGTTTTTAAACAGCATACATTTACTTCCATAAAAACACAATCCGATATAACGCTTGCTGACGTTTCGGCAGTATCGCCTTCTTCAGAGCCGCTTTTTCGTGACTTCCAATGAGGAAGTTTAGAACAGCTGATTATAGTCGCATGTGGTTGACGAAAATCATTGTGTTTCTTCAATGATTTTGGGTTACAAGAACTTATTATTCCATTCTTTAGACGTTGCAAGGGCCACAAGAGTTTTTCGGTACTTCGAATGTTCTTGGAAAATTATAGCTTCCATCAGTAAAGAGCTATGAAGAAGACTTCCTCAAATCGGAGCTATCTGTGTTACATGAAATGAGATTTTATAGGACAGTTCTGGATAAATTCACTTATCTCAGACATCAAAACTCAGAAGCATTTGTTCTCTAAGCATGCTGTTAAAAAAGTAGTCAAGAAATCAGAAATGGTGGGAATGTGAGGATCAAAGCCATTGAGTGACTCCGTATATGATCTGTCAGGAAGAGCAGTGATATTGTTTATAAAGGCAACTCATGAACGAATATAGAACCCCTCACTTAAAAGTCATGAATAGGATAGATAATGGTTCATATGAAAGGACGTACTTTGTTTCTGAGATATTCGACAGCAATGAGTAGGAAAGGAAGAATAACTATATATCGCTGGCAAAACCATGAACAATTAGGTAATTTACAATTTACACGGAGGAGAAAAACAGAATACCAGATTCATGAGCAGAATCAGGAAATGACATATAGCACTGATAAGTAGGAAAGAAAGCTTAAAGCGAAGTGATAAGTGAGAATCACTACCGACTCAGACGTCGTGAAGAGCTCCTTAACGGGAACAAATAGCTGACCAGTCCAGAGATTAAGAATATGAGGTACACACCACAAATTAAAAGAAACCTGAATACCTAAGAAGCGATAGCCAAAAATTTTTTGTACAAAACAGTATGAAGACTGTGGTGGTTGCAATCCATGCACCAATATTGTACAGGCCGATGTGATAATGTCTCATGTGGTGAAGTTTACTCGTGGAATTATCAGTCTGGCACCAGTCTGCCGACCCCGAGGGGATAGAAGACTTGGGAAGCCTTGGGAGCAGGGATCACATGTGTATTACTCAGCGCCTCCGACCACTGCGCTACACGTGTCCGTTTAACTCGTATTTAGTTTAGATTATAATCTGGGGGTAGGAGCCAAGGGTTGATAGAAGTCAGTGTTCTTATCCTACGTTCCGCACTCAGTAAACTTTCTCTCCTTCCGTAGTCGATAAATTAGTACCGCACTTTTCAGGGAGAAAAATGGCGCTGACTTTGATAGCCCGCTGCAATTCACTATATAGGCCAGATTTGGCCGTTGCGCAATGATCTCTACGACGCTACAAACTGAAAGATATGCATAACGCAACCATAAGCGATTGATCAACGCCAGACACTGTATCCCTAACCTTTTATCGAATCAGTGGATGTACGAACTCTTAGCTGTGCATGTGACTTCATTATTTTCAAAATGAGAATGATAGGTAAATATAAACTTCAGTAAAGGGAAAGGAATACATAAGAAATGACAGGAACTGAGAACAAACAAGAACTTGTAAAAACACAGAAGGAACGTTTCAATCGTAGAGAGCAGGAGCAACCTCAAATATGGGAATGTTACAACTTGGAATCTTCTATAAGCAGACAGACAGGGCAAGGTAGTTAAGCGAAGAATGCTTACTGGTTTGCTCTAAGTGCAAGGCTTTGAAGTCACGATGAATGTTAAGAACAGGTGTGAGCGAGTGTTTCCTCACCCGTTAGTTACTCTTAAAGCGATATAGTGACACTAGCAACTGGAAGGAATGTAAGTATCGATGATACAGCTATTTGTACAACGACCAAATCCTTCACAACCAGCCCATTATAATTATGCGAATTATGGAGAAGTATGCCCCAATGGCTTTTAATAGATGACAATAGATCTGCAACCTTCCTGTATAAAACGCTACCGCCAAGTGAGGAAGCTTCATTAGAGTGGTGCTCTACTCCAGGTGATTCGACTCGATAGCACTACGAAGACCTACATCACAACGACGAACGACTGTGGACCATGGGCTCGGCGAAGGCGTTAAAACTCTACCCGAATAAAACATTTGTAACAACTTTGTGCTAACTTAACTATCTAAGGAAACAAAACTTCATAGTGAAGGCTTTCAGAGCAGTTCTCCTAGCGAAGCTCTGAGGTTTTCATAGCCGGTTGCAAAGCCATTAGTGGAAATCAGACTTATTTTTGATTGAGGTGTTCAACAGTGTAGACCATTTAAATTCTAAACTCTTCAAAAGATTTCCACGTATTCAAGTAGGAAACGTCCATGGCTGTATAATAAGAGGCCTTGACATGCATGAAACGGCACTGTATCATCGACTCATCGCAGTCCACTAGTCAATCAAGTCGTAGAACAAAAATTTAGTTACAGAAACTCTATTTCGCCTTCCTCCGTAGGAATGACTGGAAAAGGTCTGGGCTTGTAAAGCAATATCTTACCACCGCCCCGTTGTTTTTCATCCTCAACACCTTTACATAGTAGTTCGCCTAATAGAGGCGCTAGAGTACCATTTCAGGATGGGTTTATTCCTGAAAAGCAATCCTTCCAGCGCCTTCTGTACTGTCAAGACTGGACAGTCACTTCATTCCTTTGTCATTTGAAGACAGTTTTAACAAATCTGAAATTGGGGACTGATTACAAAAGTTGGGAAGACTTGTCGAATGCACGTCTAGCCACTTTCGTAACAAGCTAGAGGAAATTTTCTGGCATTTTTTGTTGTTCGGAGACATTATTAGCTAGAAATGGCAGAAATGAGACCTCGAGTATAACCTTCATCCACATAACATTTTGAATAGTGCTGAGATATGACCAAAACTCAGAACCTCAATTTGGATTCGAGCCGTCGACTACATTGATCTATAGGTGCTATCAGCAATTATCCGTCAACAGGAACGATCGAATTAAACCGAATTTTGAATTCGGATACCCCGGTAAAGGTAGTCACCAGATTCAAAGCCTAACTGAGGCTCCGAGCTTTCCTCATATCTCAACCTGCTTTTGGTTTCACATACTACCTTTCCATGGAGAAAGAATAGATAGGAAATAAAAGATGAGATCCTCGGTAGCATAATTTTCTTAACAACCAACCAACTACATTTTGGCTCATCAATGTAAAAGCTAGCAACACCAGGATCGAGTACCATCCTGGTATCAAACTTGCCGCATGGTGGCAAGTCTCCTGATCCACAAGGACAGCGAATACCTGTGGTGGTGACGACCTGGGGCAGACATTGGCAAGGCGAACCTTGGGACTCCAGGGAACCACAATGATTAAACCAACAAAACTCCGAATAAATGGAAATTACACTGGAGTCAGCACAACCAGTGAGGACGGACCACCCAAGTATCCAAGTAATGTAAAAGGTAGACATTTATTAGACTCACCACAGTATCCAAGTACCTCAGCCCAGATATCGCACTCGACTACTGCTTTTTTCAGTGGCGATCCATTCATGTACAAAGAGACGACCTGGACACTTGGATACTTGGACGGCCCATCATCACTGGCTGTGCGGCCCCCAGCATATTCTCTATTTTTTCGAGTTTTGCTGGTTTACCCGCTGTGTTTCCCTGGAGTCCCAAGGTCAGCCCAGCCAGTATCTGCCACAAATCATCACTATCACAGGCAGTCGCAGCCCTTGTGGATCAAAGGGAGATTTGCCACCATGCGACTTTGATACCAGGACGGTGGAGGATCCTGATATTGGTTTACTCCTAGCTAGTGTTCCCTGATGGAAACGCCGGACTCCTCCCAGCCTGGGAGACACTGCTGGGATGACGAATTCCTCCGCTGTACAAAGCAGCCTGGTACCCAGCAACACCTCTCAGCCACGATGAGGCTGTAAACAGCTGTATAAGATTCATTAGCCAACTCCATATCTAGTAGTGAATGAGGAAGAAAAGCACTTTAGCGATACCTTGAGGCATGAGTTATGCGATTGCTCATTCTTCGCCGTAACGAGTAACCCTAGCAATCACCTCTGCATTCTTATTGACCATCGATGATCTAGTTATCAGAGGACAAACCTAGCATAACTATCAGCAGACTGTGTAATTTCTTTCCTTATACGTATCACTACCTCAGAACTGTAGCGAACTCAAAAAGAGGAACTAAAGTGTGGAAGCACAATTTTCGACGATAGTAAAATGTCTCCCAACGGTTTACCGCCTCATCGTGGCTGGGAGATGTTCCTGGATGTAGAGCTGGGATGTACAGCGAGATTCACCCGCCCCCCTGCAGAACCTCCCAAGCTGGGAAGGAGTTCGGCGTTTCTATCAGGAAACCCAGCTAAGAGTAAACCAATACCAGGATCCACGACAATCCTGGTATCAAACTAGTCGCGTGGTGGCAATTCCCCTCTGATCCACAAGGGCGGCGACTGCTTGTGGCGGTGACGACGTGGGAGAGACTTTGTCTAGAGCGACCTCGAGAGTCCAGGGAACCACAATGGCTAAACCAGCAAAACTCCGAAAGGGGGAATAATGCTGGACCTGCACAACCTGTGAAGTTGGGGTATCCAATCAAGTAAAATGCGCGAATGTCGCCTTACAATTACATCACCAGTTAAACGGTTACCTACACTACAAATTCAAAACACCCTGAAGATGTTGAACGTCATTTTTACCGTAGTGATCAGATCAGCACAACATCAACACTTTTTGCTGCATGAGAAGTTAAGAACATGGCCACTAAGTACCATTAGGACTTAAATTAGTAAAGATACTCTATTTTAAGGACAACAGTATGGTCTACAACTGCTATTTTACGAGGTCATTCGGAAAACAAATCAAGCTAACCGATCTACCGGATGCATACGTGTTGTCCGCGATATGACGCAATATTGCAGAAATCTAGTAATTCACTTAGTTACGCTGTACTTCTTAGCGTTCCTGGTTTTGTTGTGGTTGTTCCTATATCTGTATAAAGAGAGAAGTAGTTTCCAGCGAAACATTTTGAGCGAACAATGACGACAGAGGACGTTGTTATGGAGGACTTTTCTAATGAGCAGACTCCATTCCAAACTGTCCACATACTTCAGGTATGTTTGCGTCTCAACGAACGTATTACTTTTTAGCGGTTCTAGGAGTTCAAACAAGAGAGTAAACAATGACAGTTTATAAGAACATATGTACAAATATACTTGCGCACTTGAGTATGGTTGGATGGCCCGTCACTTTTTGTGCGGGTTCCAGCGTAATCTTCGATTTTTCGGAGTTTCGCTGATTAAGCCATTCTGGTTCCCTGGAGTGCCGGGTGCCGGGTCAGCCATACCAAAATGTGCCCCAGGTCGTCACCACCACAGCCAGTCACCGTCCTTGTGGATCAGAGGGAAATTTCCCACCATGCGACATGTTTGGTACCAGGACTGTGGTGGATCCTGGTATTGGTTTACTCTTAGATGGGCTTCCCGATGGAAACGCCGGACTCCTTTTCAACTTGGGGGACTATGCTGAGAGAATGAATTGCTTCGCTATACATCGCAGTGCGACACCAAGGAACACCTCCCAGCCATGATGAGGTGGTAAGCCATTGCGATAAACAATGATATCGATTATTTATGGCGTCTTTAGAGTTTTGGGTTTCAGGAGTTTTTCTTTGTCTTGGATCGTAAAAACTAAATGGCGGAAGACTTTTAACTTGTTTAGTCACATCGTTTTGACGTCTTTTTCATACTAAGGGTTAATCCTAAGCGTATGAGAAACGAAACTACTGAGTAACAGATTACGTTCTTGGTTTCTGCAGTACTTCTGAGCACCATAATCGTATTTCAGATGATCAAGGACGCGCAACAGCAGCATGGCCTGAGACACGCTGACTACCATCGATACAGGTGCCACATCTTATCTCTTTGTTTGTTCTTCATCCTTTTTATTTTTTGTGTTTCTTATACGTACCCCTAGGGCTTGTGTGCCGCAGTAATCGGAGGGTCACTGCAATACACACGGGATCGATCCCGCGCCCCAGGTCCACCGATACATCCATTCTCTCGGATTCTACAGATTGCTACCAGACCTGTCTGGAAGGACAGCAGCACTGGCCCGATACATCGGTAGGCAACCACGAGTCATTGTGAAGGCCAGATATGCATTCACTCACCTCCAGCCATGCTTAATGAAGTCGAATGCATGGCGCATCTCTCAAAGATTAATCAGCGCCGAGGGCTTTATCCTTTGTTATCCTCATACCCCTAAGATAAACCACTATGGTGTTTCTGAGTTTTGGCTGTATATTTACTCACCACTTGTAGTCTGTCCTATTGTGAAGAATTTACTTTATTTTAAGGTCATATTGTCGCTCAAAATTGGACCGCGTTCGTCATACTCTCAAGGTCACCAACACTCATAAATGTGTAAGGCGGCATAAGGCGAAGTTCATTAGGAGACCTCTTAGCGAACAAGATTTCTGTGATGAGCGGTGGGCTCATAGGGTTTTACTTAAGCCTTTGATATTTCTGTTCTGGCAATGCAGAGTCTATGGAAATTTTTTCTTTTTTTGTTGGAATAACATATTTGTGTCCCTAGGTTCCAGATGAGATTGTAAACGTTTTGGAAACGATGACTTTACCGTTTTTTAAATATTCTATGTTAACAGTAAATATTCAGTTTCATCCAGCTGGGAGTATTCGAAGCTGAGCGCCGCTGGGCGGCAGCAATGTCAGATAAAATGGAATTGGAAGACAATCCGGACAAAATGAGGAAGCGAATGTCGATGCGTATGCACCTGAAACGTGCAGTTTATCACGCTGTAATGCTCGAGCAGATGGTCCGAAATAATAACAGGGTATAGTTCTACCTGCCTTCAGAATTTATAGAATCCGTACTTTCTATTCTTATTTTATAAAGCTTTATTTTGCTAGTCTGCAGGAGTAACATTAGTATTTGCGGTGATACCTACTTGCTTGGATGTTTCTATGGCCCGTTTTCATTGATTGTGCGGGCCACGACATAATTTCCATTTTATTTTGCAGTTATGTTGGTCTAGCCATTGTGGTTTCCTGGAGTTCCAAGGTCAGCCTAGCCAGACCCTGCCTCAGGTCGTTACCACCACAGGCACTTGCCGCCCTCGTGGATCAGAGGGAGATTTTCCACCATGTGACTAGTTTGATAACAGGACCGTGGCGAATCGCGGCATTGGTTTACTCTTAGCTGGGTTTCCTGATGTAAACACCAAACTACTCAGTTTGGCAGACCGTGCCGGGCGATGAATCACCCCGCTGTACATCCCAGTTGAACATCCAGGAACACCTCCCAGCCACGATAACGGAGGGGACCTTTAGGAGGATATGCGGTGGTAATGGATAAAATAATATATTCAGCGTTGCTTGAGAAACAGCGTTGAAGAACTGCAGAATTTCTTTCTAGGACATTCCGAAGTAATGCGAGGTATAAGCAAAGCTCGAAACGACGATTAGGCTTCGAACCAACGATTACCCTATCATAGTGCTCGCGTGTTATCCGTTGCACTAACCGGGCCCCTTGCTTTACTTTTTTCTCGGTCAGTTTTTTATCCTAACGGTGTTATCAGCAATCACCCATTAACGGGAATGAACTGGAGAACACAATCTGCATTGAGCCCAATTAATCTGGAGCTGCAGTCGAAATCACAATGTTTAACTAATAATTAATGGCTATTTTTTTTCAAAGCGGATCACTGTGTGGATTGCAGCATTAGGGTAAAAGAGATTGGCTAAGAGAAGTATAATGCTAGGGTGTCGGTTGGTGCAGTCAATAACACCTGAATTCTCCGAAAGGGTAGTCGTGGGTTCGGAACCCAATTGCGGTTCCTAGTTTTGCTCATATGTCAACATCATTTTGCTTGTTTTTCATACCATGCCCTGCCGTCAAAAAAAGAATAGGCAGTGGATAATAAATAAATAAACTAAAATATTATTCGGTCATTTATCCAAATTGTGGTTTTAGTGTGATGCTCCTACAAAATTAGAAGCACAAGCCTATTCTGCTTGGTTGGCTGGGGTTTGTGCGTTTGAAATGCGTAGATGGCTTGAAGCCTGTGATTTTCTGAAAACTGCTCGTCGGGTCTATGAACGTCTCGCTGAAGCCACACACAATACTGTATTGTCAAACCTCTACAAAGCAAGGTTAGTTCTTTTCTTTAACTATTTTCGTTTAGTCATCTGTGTATTTGATAAATTTTCAAGGAGCATGTGACTTTACCATGAAAATTGGTCTTGTCAACAGTATTTATTCCTTGTTTACTAATAAAATAGTGGGTGGTAACATTATCTAGCTACATCTCTTAATAGAGTAGCTCGAGTGGACGAACCCTAGAAAATCCTCTATTTATCTGTATTGCTATTGAAAGCTACCAATCCAGTGAGCATACAACCACAACGATGCCGAGATATTCGCAAAAAAGACGGGTGATTGCTGATGGCAACGTTAAGTAGAAGATTTGGATTTGGTGAGAGAAACGCAAAGCAAGAGTATTAGAGATGCAGTGTGTAATATATGCGAACCGTGAAAGGGATAGTCGTGGTTCGATTTGGCACGGGACCAGCGATTTGCGAATATCTCAGCGTCTTTGTGGTTGTATTTCACGTAATACTCTGTCGTGAAAAATTATAGTAGGTAGCAAATGAAAGGTTAGCATCAGTGAGCATATTTACTTTGGGAGTCTTTCTATTTCTTTGCGAACGGACAACCGCCTTAGCTCGTTGGATCTGCTACTGCGCTACCCGCGCTTTTTGATCTAATGAAATCGGTGATATTACTAACAATGGGGTGGTATTGCTCGGTATATTATGCGAGGCATGGCAAATTATCTGGTTAGTTTCTCTTATGATTCCTTGGTTCAGGTGCCGTGAAATCCAGCCTCAAATTCGTCTTTGCGAATTCAGCTGTGCTGATTCAACGACGAAGCCGGTGGATGGCATGATGAACGAGCTAATGAAGATCCGTGCACAGGGAACAGATAGTGAAGCTGTTGACGTAAGCAACATGTTTAGTTCTGTATGCATTTTCATGTGTACCATAGTTACGTTTTTTTCATACTTGTCAGTTGAGACTTCAGGCGTTGAACCAAGAGTTCTAATCATATTTATTTTTCCTTAAATTTTATTGGCCACTGAACAAACTAGTTATAAGTAACAGTAGTTTGAATTTCAGCGGCTGATCGCTGAGATGCGTTCAAAGGCATCATGTGACGATGTTGTCGTTGTTGAATGGGGTGGATTGAAATCAACGGTGGAGGATGTAAAAGCTCGACAGGTCGTGCAAGGATGGCAACAAGTTCATAACGAGTTAGCACAGTGTCAGACTGCAAAAGAAAGGGTGTGTTTCTCGTTTGAGTGAATTAAAATAAAATAGCTCCCAACGGTTTACTGTCTCATCGTGGCTGGGATGTGTTCCTGGATGTAGGAATCTGCAACGTACAGAGGGTGGATTCATCCGCTCGACGGGACCTACTAAACTGAGAAGGACTTCTGCGTTCCCATTAGGAAGCTCAGGTAAGAGTAAACCAATACTAGGATCCGTCACCTTCCTCATATTAAACTAGTCGCATGGTGGCAACGCTCCCTCTGATCCACAAAAGCAGACAGCCTGTGGTTGTGACTACCTGGAGCAGATTTTGACTAAGGTGGCCTCGGGGCTCCAAGGAACGACAGTGGCTAAACCAGCAAAACTTCGAAGAAATAGAGATTATGCTGTGGGCCACACAACCAGTAAGAGCGGACCATCCAAGTACCCAATATATAGAATTGAGGTGTGGTATAACTATCCATTATGCAAAAACCATTACTTTACTTTGAAAATTACTCGTAAGCCATCATCGTGCCTTGTGTAGTGTTTTTTCGCATTTGTACTAGTTGTTTCCTTCATCTGCAATTTCAATACATTAAATCGATAGATTTATCTTTAGATGGCTCTCTATGAGAAGCAATTGGCTGATACACGCGACGCTCTTGAAAGAATCTCAGATCTTATTCGTCGAAAGTCCTCTGATAATGCCGATTCCACTGTAAGTTTTTTAAGTCATTTTGATTCATATATGGTGTTTATCTCACCCTTTGGTAGCTTAGAATGAATTTTCACCGTTCGTGGCTATGTACTTGATGAAAATAATCACCATTGGTTGCATAATTTTATTTTAGGTTTTGCAATCGATTAGATCGTATCTAGAGTCCCTTAAACTTCTGGGAACGGCATCACGTTATTTGGCTATCATAGAAAACACAAAGTTTGTCTAATTTTCATAAAACTATTGAGAGAAGTATGGATCGAAGAACTTGTCTTTTAAGGACCGAGAAAAAAATAAAGCCGCAAGATCTTTTGCGTTTGTATGACTCAGTTATCGAGGTGTACAAAGAGGCATGTTTGAAAGTTGACTCGTTTTTTTACTGTTATTTTCATCTGGTAGTTCCGTACGTTTAGCTCATGCAACTTCCTGGAGTGGAGTATGACAAGCGCCTCACACAAGCAGTTTCCGCGAAGATTGAATATTACCGTGCATTTAGGTGCAAGCTTCGCTTATTATTCTTTTCATGAGTTTTTTGGTATATAGTTTCTCTTTACTTTCAAATTGAAATCGTCTCGGCACTTCCCAACGGTTTACCGCCTCATAGTGGCTGGGAGGTGTTCCTGGGTGTCGGGTTCCGATGTACACTGTGGGAATCATCCTCACAGCAGGGCCTCCCAAGCTGAGAAGGAGTCCGTCGTTCCCATCAGGAAACCCAGCTAAGACGAAACCAATAACATCCATCGTCCAACCATCTGGTACCAAACTAGTCGCATGGTGACAAATCGCCCTCTGATTCACGGGGCGGTGGCTGACTGTGGTGGTGACGACCTGGAGCAGACTTTGGCTAGGCTGACCTCGAGACTACAGGGAACTACAATGGCTAAACCAGCAAAACTCCGAGAAAAGTGAAATTATGCTGGGGCCTTTACAACCACTGAAGAGAGGTTATCCAAGTATCCAAGCAAGTTATGATCTCGGCATGCAAAGCGTGGATTGTTAGCTGATACCACACCCTTAGTGTGTTTGCGTGCTCAAGGAGGGTATAAGCCAATCCTGATTGACAACAGGGACAGGAAGCCAATTCCTTAAATCTGCTTGTATCTCATGAAAATTGGAAAGAGGGTAAAGTTCACGTCTGAACTTTATCGTATGGGACCTGTGCGGAGTGGTCTCGGGAACAACCAGCTCGAGATGTGTCACATGGGAAGATTCGTGTAAAACATGTTGCTGCGTGTTTATTGGCAATTTTAAAGTGAATTTGAGAAGAATTAAGGAACGGATATTTCTAGATATGGTTAAAACTCACTTGGAAGCATCTAGAATTTTGTTTAGGCATTTTATTGTGCAGTAATTTCTAGGTGCCATTATATAGCAGCTGCCTACGAAGCGCTGTCTCGTTTTGACGAGGCTGTTGCATTGTTCGAACGAGCTTTGAGACGTGCTAAAGATGCAATAGAGATCTTGTCGAAACTATCGGGTAATCCATACATGGCGGATGAAACGAAGGTACTTTGGATTTATATGTGATAATTTTTCGGTATTATTTATTAGCTGGAATAAGAAAATGAGCAAGAAGTGGTGCAGAGTGGCTACAAGTATGTCATGGTGTCGAAACAGTCGGTATAATACACGGTGTAGATGGAATTACTGGCTTTTCAACATTTAGAAAATCGTTTTCCACACTTCTGTAATAGGGTAGAAAGCATTGTACAGTCGGTGCGTATGGGTGAGAAAGCAACTTTTACTCTCCAGAGTATTTCTTTCTTCGGTGTTTATCAATTCACTGAATCTACGGGGTTTTTCTGGCTGTCAAACTGAAATTTAGGTTGGGTTCGTTCTACGATAGGGTCAACCAAGTAGAGATATTGTTCGATATTTATTTCGTAAACTAACTGAAAGTACAACTTTGCCATGACACAAGCCGGCAGCTGCGCGTGACTATTTTGTCGGAAAAAATAGTGATCGCTCACTCACTCTTTATTTTTTACTAAAGGTGGATGATATGCTCTTCGTGTTCTCTGAATTAACCGAACGTACTAAGTTGCTCTTGTATGCCGTAAAGTGAACGAAGCTTGTTGGTGCATGGTCGAGCGGGAATTACTGGATGCGATTGCAGCTACTGCATTTTACGTAACCAACGTAGTTCCTTCGTTACAAAAGTACCTTGAGGAATCTCCAGTGTGGGATGGACAATTTAAGTCGAAATTCTTTCGAGTTAAAACTCAACACGGAATAGAAATGTGGTACTTTTAGAATTTTTACCGAAGTAGGTTGTCAGTAAACAGCGTTATGATTCGTACCACTTACCATACTTGTGAAAAATATCAATTCGTCAAAATGCATGGTGTGGTGGTGAACACGTTAGTCGCCGGGCAAACGGGAATAGCGCGCTCTATCCCTACCGCAGACACCTGTGGTCCGGAGTTTCGCAAATATCTCATCACCATTGTGGTTGTATCACACATAAAACCTCCTATGTTTTTAGGAGGCAATACATTTGCTTGAAGCTGATATCGAAAACGCACGTATTGCCACTCGAGCGAAGCGTTTAGCTGCAGCAGCCGGGATAGTTGAAGAAGTCGACGAAAAGTTGGCACGTGTTATTGACGACAGGGTTGGTTTCCGTTATGGGAACACGTTTTTGTTTTAGACATGAAAGGAAGCTACACTTTCCTGCTGACTATTTCATACCACTTTTAACATCATTTTGTCGTCTCGTTGACTTCTGGATGCTGTTAAACGGTTTGTCAGTTAAAGCACTGAGGGTGAATGTAATAAGCTTGATCTCGTTAGAAGTAGTTAGCATAGCGCCCTTAGTATAGCCTTTGGCTATGATTGAATTGTTTCGATAATGATTAATTTAAAACATTACATTGCTAGTTTTTTAGCCTTTAATGGAGACGTTAGCGGAGTGGCGAGAATGGAATGTAGCAGGTTCATTACGCGAGAAGCGAAATATACCGATAGCGGAAATGCCTCCACCATTCATCTTAATGCCAAACAAGCCTATGTTCTTCGACTTGGCCCTTAACCACGTTAAGGTAAGTTTGTTCGTTTTCCAAAATCGTCTTCTTGATTGAATTCAAACTTAATTTGCTCTATTGTTGTCATTTATAGTGATAACAATTGATTGTGTGTCAGTAATATGGCACTGACCTTAATATTTTTGTTGGTTTTGTTTTACATAAGAGCGAAGTTTATGAGAAAGGTTGGAATTTTCTCCTATTGTTACCTCTGCTCTTTATACGATTTTTTGTTCGCTCTAAACAAAAGTGTTTTCTAAATTAGGTTTAATATCCTTGCGTGGGGCCGCTTGTAACGCAGTGCTCGGAGGCGCCCTGCAATGCACATGATATGTATCTCCGCGCCCCAGGCTCACCAAGTCCTCCATCCCTCCGGGATTGGCAAATTAGTGACAAACTTGTCTGGGAGGATAGCAGCACTGGCTCGTTACATCAGTAGGCCACCATGAGTCATTGTGAGGGCCAGAAATGCATTCATTCAACTCCAACGATATTTAATGAAGTCGAATGCATGGTGCATCCCTCAGGAATTGATCAACGCCGAGAACTTTATCCATTACTTATTATTTGCGTGACGGGTTTTTTTTTCCAACGTTTTTCCAATCATAAGAAGTTTTGCAAGAAGAACGTTTACAATATATGAAGTGCTTTTGAACATCAAATAACGTGATTTTGTGGCGTGTTTCTCCAGCTTCTGGTTTTTGTTTTTAAACAATTAGAAGTACTCTGAGCCAAAAACTATCTCTTTGACTCTTTAGATGCCAAATTTGGATGACCGGCTTGCGAAATGCATGGAAGGTGCGAGAACAACGCCGGTGGCGAAAAAAGGTGTTGAAGTAGCTAAAGGAATTCAAAAAGCAGAGGAGCAGAGTGGTTTGTCTGGAATGGTCAAAGGATGGATATGGGGCAAGAAATAAGCAGCTACTGAATTCCAACGTGCGAGAAACTGAATCCTGTGTTTCTTAACATTCATCAAGAAAATGGTTAAGAACACGTAGTTGTGGCCCTACTACCTCTTTGCCGTTAAATTCCTTTGTTTTTTCTGTCGTTCATTTGCCGTCATATTTTTTGTTCTTTCCGTATAGCCTACAAGTTCTTCCTGAAGCCATGAATTTCAAAAGTTTTCACTTGTTGGATGGAATTTGCTTTATGGTCCTAATGGTCATGTCGGTATGAAATTCGTACTATAAGCTCTCAGTTTACAAAATTTCTTGCAAAGTCTTTTGTGAGATTTTGTTAAACTATCAGTTTCGTTTTCGTAACGCTTAAGACATGTAATGAGACTATGCCAAGTTGAGAAGCCCCCATATGGATGCGTTGTTATTGAGCTACCTGCTTAGGGAGGCAAGGTTAGGAATGTGGTCATCGATCCCAGTGGGCTAAAACAGTGGAGTACCACCCAGTTTTGTTATTCTTTTAAGTTCAAATTGTTTAATTCAGTTGAATGATGTCCCTTGAAGTAGCAAAAAAAAACTAAAAAAGCAGAGGATCACAGTGGGTGGGAATAACATTTCTTTTGACAGGGGCTTTCAGTTCTGATGTTTTCTTTTAAACTAGAGGGTTTTCTCGAAGATATATGTGGTTAGGCCATTGTTGTGATACGATCAATACCATTTGAAACCGTTTGATCAACTTCCTGTGTCATTTTACTTCAAAGAACCTTATATGAACGATTTATCTCTACCAAGGAAATCTAGGGCCGTCGTAAGACCATCTGTTTCCTAATCTTTCGATAAGCAGTAATAGAGGTCTACACAACGAATGTTGATGTTCTTCTGGTATAATTGGTTCATCTAGTTAAGGTTTGTTCAGAAGATTCTATGTGATCATTGCAGTTTATTGTTGTTGACTTTACTTATCCTCTTTATGGCTTACACTTTCGTATGTGTTTGATTACACTTTCTTTATGAAGTAGGTTAAGATTGTTTTTAACCATGGTAATTGCTCCTAAGGGCTTGCTATGCCTTCCTCTCAGTGATTCCTGTCATGAGTTACAGATTTCTTTTGAATTCCTGTTAGTTGGTTGGGAATATTTATTGTGATAAATGTTGCAAGTTACCTAAGGTTGTCCACAAAGCGGTTTAGTTGACCGATTCGTATTGAATTGACTCTAAGAGTTATTCGCTTTGCGTTTTTGGGTTATAATTTCTAGAATGGGCGGTGTACCATGACGTTATTTTATTTTCCGTAGATCGTTAGATACTTATAGAAAGGTGTAGGATCTTTGGGTAGTATTCAACTAGACAACATCTAGAGCTCTAAGAGGGTTTACAAAAACGTTAGGTACGCTTGAGTGCATGTAAGTTTATGCGTTGGTGGCGTAGTGTTCACAGAGTGTCTCTTCACTAGGCAGTTTGTTGTTGAAGAAAGTTCCAACTCTTATCTTCAAAGCCGTTTATTGAAAAGTTGGTCGGAATGGTTGGTTTGCTTCGAAGTCATGTTCTCCATAATGTACCGAAGAGACTCCATCTAGTCGCCTGTTACCTGAACAGAGCCTCTTTACGTACATTGACTCGTGATGGTTCTGAGTCTTTTGAGGACTTGTGATAAACGGTGGACAGCAAAACACAAACTATTTTCTCCTTCTGTTTCTATGCTTCGGATATTCTTTCTTGTTTTTCTTACAAATAGGAACAAGTTGGGTCCTTTGCTCCACTACAGTCTAAGTCAAGAAAACGCTGGAATAGTAGTTGCGTGTAAACGTTTTCCTTTAGCGAATATTATCGTGCATAGTTCTAATCACTACCGAATCAGCCATATCTCCTGTTATGGAAAAGGGAATGATAAAGGATAGAGCTCTCGGCGCTGATCTATACATGGGGGGAGCGCCATGCATTCGACTTCATTAAGCGTCATTGGAGGTGATTGAATGCATATTTTCCCTATACGATGACTATACAGTGACCGATGTATCAAGCCTGTACTGCTCTCCTTCCAGAGAGATCTCGAACTAACTTGTTGACTACTGTGGGATGAAAATTTGCTAAGTTTGAGGCGCGAGATCGAACTGATGTGTGTTTGCAGTGCACCAGCCACTGTGCTACACGCACCCCTGAGAGGTGGATACCAGCAACAGTATTAATCTGTCTGCATATTTCGCTTAACTCAACAATACGTATAACTTTATTCATAATTTTTTATTTACTACCTTTTTTCTGGTAGGTTACTATGTGGATTGTAACCGAGACTATACTGAGGCGTTTTCAAAACTCATAGCCCAGACCAGATTCGAGCTTGCGATTACTCTTTCAAGGGGCTGTTGTATTGCTCACTGCACCACTGAACCCCTTCTTTGCCTTTCTCCCAACCAGTTTTTTCCTATTTCCCTCACTTGAAGTTCAGTCGTTATGTACGGTAATTAGGTTATTTGATGATTTGAAGATTTGTGTGTTTCTGTATGTTTTTGAACAGTTTGTACCAACAAATGACTCAGTAGGCGTGTTTTCCAGTATGCCAAATGACTAACCTCTATCCTGATGAGAGCTACTGCACGAGTGATATAGGCCGTTTACTGTTTCATCCAAAGAACGAGTGGTCTGTGACGGCAAAGGTGGTAGATGTCATAGAAGTGAAGCATATTGCTGGTAATCATATCGACTATAAAATAGAAATCACTGTGAGTTTTTCTCGTTACGGAGTGAAGTTTGTTAGCGTGAATATTCATCATTAACTGTGTTAGACTGAGTGCGTATAGCGCAGTGGCCGGAGGCGCCCTGCAATACACATGGGATAGATCCCCGCGACTCACCAAGCTCTCCGTCCCTCTGGCGTCTCCAAATTGGTACCGGACTTTATCTGGGAGTATAGCAGCACTGGTTGGATACATCCATAGGCCACCGTGAGTTATTGTATAACCAGATCTGTATTCAGTCACCCCAACAGTGCTTACTGAAGTCGAATGCTTGGCGCATCCCTCAGGAAGTGACCAACTCCGACAGCTTTATCCTTTTTTTACTAACCATTTATATTACGTTTATTGTATTCTTCCTAACGGTTTACCTCCTCATCGTGACTAGAATGTGTTCCTGGGTGTCGGGCTGCGATGTAGAATGGGGGGATTCGTCCACCTGGCAGGGTCTCCTAAAGTGAAAAGATCAAAGTCGCATGGTGGAAAATACCTGTGATGGTGAAGACCTGGGGCAGACTTTGTCCATACTGACCTCGGGATTCCAGGGAACCACAACGGCTTGACCAGTAAATCTCCGAAAAATCAAGGTTATTTTGGGGCCCGCACAACCAGCGAGGACGGGCCATTCAAGTATCAAATAAGTAAGTTAATTATACCATATTACATGTTAATTGCGTTAATTATTATATTTTTTGTTTTAACTCTGCTAGAATTTTAACCTTTTTTATTTTATTTTATATGACCCGTCTTCAGTGTACTGTGCTAATCTCAACACTTCTCACACTCGATTCGTTTCCTCACATCCATTGTCCACGGAGATCTTCCATCTTTTACGTGTGGCTTCGGTTGCTGCTTTAGGTTTCAGCTTGAATGTCGTGGAATGCTGGTCGGGCGATTCTCCCTAGAGCGTTCCCAATTGGAATGCAGAGAGTGACTTTTTCCCAGACAAGTCCGGTACCAATTTCACGAACGCGGTGGGAGGAGAGGCTTGGTTGACCCGGCGCGGAATGGAACTAGCACAATGCTCGTGGTAACGGACGTCACTACCACTGTACTATCCGCCTCATGAAATTCAACTTTATCTGAGCAAAATATTATTTACCTTTTCTCGTATAGCTCACCCATTCAGTGTAATAGAAATTAAAGGATAAAGATCTTGGCGTTGATCAATCCGTTGAAGGATGTGCCTTACATTTGACTTCATCGAACATCGTTTAGAGGGGATTGAATGCATATCTGGCTTTTACAGTTGACAGTTTACTTTTACAGTTTACTCGCAGTGAACAAACGATGCATCAAACCAGTGCTGCTATCCTCCCAGACAAGTCTGGTACCAATTTGCGGATCCTGGAGAGATAGAAGACTTGGTGTGCCTGGGGTCTCCATGTGTATTGCAGGGTGCCTCAGACCACTGCGCTATATGCGCCGCTTTAGTGTCATAACACATTTATTCTCTTCTTTAATTCCGTTTTCGGAATCTATTTCACTACGTCATCTGCACTCACTGTTATTTTTCATTTTCATTGCATTATTTAAATTCAAAAAACTTCACTGGCTTCATTGTTGCTTCTGAATTCTTTGTTTAAGTGTGTACCCCGTAAAAGTATTGAGTTGGACGACCGAGTATTTACATTGACTTCAAGATTTCGTGAGTTGAATCGTTTGCACGCCAACTTATCAAAATTACATAAACAGGTAGGTAATGACGTCACTTACGTAGAAAATTCTTTTGCAGCTATTTTGAATAGTCCTGTTATCGCAGTTTTCATTTCCGTCAGCCCGTTATCGGTTGTATTTTGTTCTAGAATTCGTTATATAATAAATTATTTAGCTTTATTTGCGAGGAACATTTCCACAATTCGCTCTTCCACGTCTACTGGGTAAATTCGACCCACAAGTGATAACTGAACGAAGGCATAGCATCGATGAATTCTTGGCGTTCGTTCTCGATAATGAAGTGTTAAGGAAAGCGCGTGTGCTACAAGAATGGACCGAGGTGAGCATTTCCTCAGTATTTTGTTCTCAGTTCTCACTTTGTTAAGTTAATCAACGTTTAATAATTATTTGATTCACTATTGTCTTATGTTCTTACTGTGTTCCAGAAGGCAGCAGAGCAGGCTCTTCCAGGTCAGGTTGCGACGCCACGTTCTCTCATCTATGAAGGTGTGAATATCATCGATGCTCCGGTCATGTAGGTTGTTTAGTTGTTTGTTTATTCATTTAGATTGTTCTCTATGTTATTCTATCGGTACAGTAAGTGATAAGTCGTCGCGGAACGAGCAATTATCCCGTCGTACTTTTTTTTTATGTTTTGTGTATAAAGTAGACGTTTTCGGATTAGAAAGGGTACATTCTCTGTTGTGAGAAAGTCGTCCATATAGCGCAAACGGTATTACAGAATAAATTTCTGCGGTAGGGGAAACAGTCATAGGCGGAATGGGTCTTGTACGGTGTGGTGAACAAGGCTCACTGACTGCTTGTAGTGACAAGTCGAGAACGTCCTAACACGGCTACTTAAAGATTTTAAAGAATACTACGTCCTACTAGCATTCAGAATATCATCAAGTGGGCAAAATAACACTATAAGGATGCAGCGGGACACATACAAGAGTCTGGTCACTTCCATAAGGGATAATTAAATGGCAACAAAATGTATGAAAAAAATGTTGTGTTGCGGCCGAAGTGTCAGACAAGACTGTCTAAGTGTCCATCTATCAATATTGCCCAGGAGAAGAGAGTGGTTTAAAAGTTTTTAAGGTTCACCTGTATCACCTATCTTCCCGTTGATCGTCGAGTGACTGGAATAGTATGCCAAAAAAGCTTCCAATTCTCTTTGTCACTCTCGGATCGGTGGTTTTCCTGCAGTACCTTTGACGTCCTGAGGAATCCTGTCATTAACGGCCCTTGTCCATCGATCGTTTATACGAATTACGTGTAGCGCATACCTTATTTTCGACAGTTTGGAGTACTGAACGCCATCATTGATTCCTGTCGTTGGCGCAGTTCGGAGCTTCGGATCTCTTCCCTTATTTGCATGACAAGGGATATTCCTTGTATCGTCCTTTTAACTGCGCCTTCAATAACGCTGAGTGATTTTTCATACTGTTTACGCAGCGACCAGGTTTCTGACGCATACGTTAGCGCCACCGTTGAGTCGATGAAAACGTGGGCACGGAGTCTGGTGTTCATTGTTCGCTTCACTGCATTTTGGACGCTATTGAAAGCTCCTCAAGCCGCCCGTTCCTTCTGTTCAACAATGGAGTTAAGTCATTCGTCATGATGACTTCCTGAACTAGATAGACGTAACTGGACCGTTCAAAGATATTCATTCCGCTGAGCGTGAATGGGCGATACATGACCGGTTTGCTACTCACGAACTCCGTTTTGTGAGATTTAGTTGAAGACCTGCAGGCGTTATCAAAGTCGGCAAGCATTCGTTCCGCTTGGTTAACTCGTGGTGTTGTGGATATCATCAGCAAAGCGAAGATGGTGAAACTGCCGACCATCGATTTTCACACTCATTTTGTCCTATTCCAATGTTCGCATAACGTTCTCGAGGATGGCCGTAAATAATTTTGGCGCGATAGTATCGCATTGCCTAGCCCCTCTTTGACGTCGATGTTAATATCATTGTTGAACGGTGAAATCTTAGTCGTGAAATTTTTGTTTGTACGGCTCACGAAGATTCTTTATGTACTGAGTAGGTACTCCTTGACTATGAACGGCTTCCATGATTGCTTCTATCTCATTTGAATCAAAGGTTTTCTGTACATCGATGGAAGTGAGACAGAGCGGTCTTTTGTACTCTTCTGATACTTCAGTAAGTCTCGTTATCGTGTGGGTGTGGTCTATCGTGCTGAATCCTTTTCGAAATCGTTCTTGCTCACATGGATGCCCTTCCTCCAGTGTTCTGTTAATCCTGTTTGGGATCACTCGAGTAAAAAGCTTGTAGACGACAGACAGCAAGCAGATTGGGCGATAGTTGCCGACATCGTGGAGGTCACCCTTTTTGAACATTAGCACGGCCTTTCTGGTCTTCCATTGAGTAGGGACCTTGCATTCAGGCAGGTAACGTGTGAAGTGCCGAGTCAGTGTGTTTACGGGAACTGGCAGATGGTTCTTCAAGTGTTCAGATCTTATCCCGTCCGGACCTGGTGCTGTTCGATTTTTCACCACAGAATAGCATGCTGGATTTCGGAAGGGAGAACCGGTGATACAACGTATCCATCCTTTATTTCATATGTGGGAAGGGAGATGTGGCTATTAAAAAGTTCCGAGCAGTATTCGTGAATGATTTTCTACACTGACTTTCTGGACGCTGTAACTGTTCCGTCTGAGCGTCGGAGTGCAATGATCTTGGTTTTGTAATTGGCGATGCTTCGGTGGGATTTGCAAATGTTCCTCCTCAGTTTCTGCAGCTTTGACCATTACTGCTGCTTTTCGCTCTTTAAGATCTTCTGCCTGTGTGCATTGTTTTGCAAATTCTGACGTTAGTTTGCGATTGTCTGCAGCTCGTGGGGTTCTACGCTGGCGTATCAGCTCGAATGTTTCTGGAGACAGACGTCTCTTGGTGACTTTCGAACTCTCAGCTTTCATAGCGCTAATATGATAACGTTGAGTGAGCCGATCGTACTCTTCGCCAATGTTATCGACAGCGGCATCTTTCCAACAGTCGATTAATGAGTTGAATAAGTTCCAGTTTTTGGTGATTCTGGAACTTCTTTTTTTTGAATTTAGCGGCTTTCTCCTTTCCGCGAGAAATAGAATCTTGCACGAAGGAGACGGTGTAGAATTTTGGTACAAAAGCGACATTGGTTAGGCAAAACCTTCTGTTTACTATTATGTGGTCTATTTCGTTATGCTACTCTTGGAAGACTCCCACGTCCAGCGCTGAGGGTGAGGCTTCTGGAATTGCGAGTTACCATGGATTATCTTGGTTGTTATGATAAACTCAGATAGCCGCTCACCCTGTTCATTCAATTGTAATCCGTGGGTCCCAATATGACGTTCCTCTTGGTCCAATCTTGGCTTTGAAATCTCCACTGATGACTTTGGGGAGTGTATGGTTTTCTCAGTGGAAATTCTCTAAGTCCATACAGGACGCTTCCACATCGACTTCGTCGTCATCATGTCGTAATGTTGATGCATAGACGACGAAAATTGCCATAGCCGATATTGGTCTACATCTCTTTAACGGTAAACGTCGGGTTAATAATTGTTTGAGTGGATCGATGTTCATGGGCAAACATGTTGACGAGAACACCGACGCCGTCTCTGTTGTTGCATGTTCTTAGGAACCATTTTCAGGTGTCATAGACAGCGTTGAATGGTGGTTTCATCTTGTCTGGCCCAGTCCAGTAACGTCGCGCTTTATCCTTGTTGCATGTATAATCAAGTAAGGCCTCCATCGACTCAGGTGCAAGTGAGCGTGCACTGTAAGTAGAGATCGTCACCTTAGTCTTTCGAGTTTTAGGCAGCCTACAGTGGTCTTGAGATCTTAGCAGTCTCTCCATACTCGTACTAGCCCAGCGTTACCGTCTAAAGGCTCTTTCGGGATCGGAGGAATGAGACTAACTTATTTTGCAGTTTTAAGTGTTTGATATCGGCTTATTGTTTGCTGATCCCTGAACGTGTGGTCTGGTTGAAGTCGAGGGTATCTTGCCAGTCTCCATAATAGACGAGGAGTTCATTTGTTGGAGGCGACTCATTTTCCACTCACTTAAATGTAGGCTTTTGGCCAAATCGATTCGTAGAATACAGTCCGCATAGACGAGAACGCACCCAGGCGCGTATGCATGAGTGCGTCTTCGTAAACACAGAAAGTGTGTGTCAGCGCGGCTCAGTAGAAACAGACAGGTAGTCCACGGAATTCATCTGTGTTTCAGAGAAGCGTAGGTCATTTTGTTTCGCGTTAATCCCTTATCCGCCACCTGGGGCCGCGCCACGTTGCCTGGGTACTAACCGGCATGAGATCCCTTTATGAGAGTGATCCGTGGATAATCCTTCTTTGAAGTTATTTCGAATAAATACATTGTCAATAAGGAGCCACAATGAATATCTATCCAATCTGAGTAAACTTACTTATGTTGAGCAGTGTGGTGTATAACCCAGGAGCGAAGATGGACATTCCTCTTCTTTCGTTAGTGGTGTGTTTGATCATGTTAGTTGGTTGGTTTCCCATTGCTGCACTTTAGAGTTCATGACGAATCGTGTGCATACTTCGTTAGAGAGTAGGGTTCGCTGGATTCCATTTCCAGCTTATTTGGTTTTTCGATTATGACAGTAACTCTGACGCGGTTATGTAAAACGATCAGGTAGTCGTTACTTAATTCCTTCAGGAACGAGTCTAAATTTCAAAATAGAAGAAACTATATCCGTTCTCTTCACTTGCTGTGAATAATCCTTTCATATCCTTATATATTCTTCCCACTATGAACGGAAGTGGTCAGATTAATCACTGCTGTTAATACACGATGTTTAATTCGTCAATTTACTTTCTCTTGGACGGAACGTGTAGCACACTGGTTTGAAGTGAGGTCTTTAGTTCGATCCCATGCCCAGACTCACCATACTTTCCGTCGCCACAGAGTCAGCAAATTGGTACCAGAGTTTTTGGAACTGTAAAACCCTGACTTGACATATGAGTTCAACAAGCCATTATCTGGGCCAAATATGCAATAAGTCATCTCCAGCCATGCGTGGTGAAGTCAAATACATGGCTCATCTCTCAGGGGTTGATCAATGCTGAACGCTTCGCTCTTCTATCCATACATTCTTGTGTATATATCGTATCAAGAATTCTCACTTACTTTGTTCGAATTCTAAACTTTCAGTCAGGACGAAACCATTGACTCTTCACGAGTGTTGATTCCAGAAGCACTACCATCGCGAGTCAGTCTGAGTTAGACTTTTGACCTATTCAAGCACAATTCTTAATATTTACATTCTATTACTTGCTGAATATTTATTGGTTTTGAAATAAAGGCATTACCTCAGTCGCGTTCACTTTTGAACCTCTGGTATATTTTACCAACAATCGAA